ATTGTTTTTGCTGTTACAGACTAACACGGCTACCACTCTGAAACCTTTAAAAGAATGTCGCTCTCTGAATCAGGGCCTTAGAGAGTAGCCATAAAATGGCAGTGCAGGCCCTCAGGCTGTATGTGTTGATCTGCCACTGGCTTTCAAATATTCGGAGGGGTTTTATGATGATAAGGAATCTCACGGGGCCTGATTCAGTGAGAGAGTACATCTTAAACTGCATTTACAGTTGCTTTGCATCCCTGGACTGATGCAGAGCAGCTGCATCAGAGAGTGAGAATGGGATACACCCTGAGCTTCTGCTCAGTAACTGCTCCTTGCCCCAAGATATGTAAATATATTGGTTACCTTTAAAAACTTGTTCGTTGCCTCAATATTCTCTAGTTATTCCCCATAGCAAGTGCAGTGAATACCTCAGGTACTGAGGTCACATTGTTTAAGGATGACCCCTGTGACTGACGGAGATTGAAGGAATCTGTCTAGGTACCTCGCTGTAGTATGTGAGCATTTCACATTTGTTAATGGATGTTTTGCCTCTCAGTACCCCTGTTAGGAACACGAGGGATATGCCCATTGGCAGAGCACAGCATAGGCCGGCTCAGGGTCATGCAACGGGTCTGTGGCCCAGCTGAGAATAGAAGCCTGCTCTCCTGTGTCCTAACCCAGTGCCCTGTCCACTGGAGAGGCCTTCCCACTCTGAATGAACGTTGACTCTTCCTGTGTTTTTGTGGTAATACACTGGGGGGGTGGGGAGGTGATTTGTTTGTTCTGGGCCCCGCACTGGATCTAGTGCATGTTGTCACATGGGGAGCATGAGCATCACCAAACCTCTGCTGTGCATTAGGGTGACGTGGGAGAAGGAGAGGGCATCTGCGCGCTACTCTGCAGGTGCAGAGAGCAGAGTCAGAAGTTGTCTGCTGCCCCTTTAAGCAGCGCTGCAGGTACTTGAATTGAAGGAGCACGTAGAGACACAACAGAAGACTGGGGCACCATTGTGCTAGTCTCTGTACAAACCCCGAACGAGAGACCGTCCTAGAGCTACCATCTAAATGGGAAAGGCAAACTGTATAGTGCCTCCCGCTGGTTGAAGCCTTTGGAGTAACAGGCACAGAGTAGGGTTGCCAGTTAGGGTTGGATGTATTCCTGGAGATTTCATCACATGACATAATCTTTAATTCCTGGGACACCAGGACAATCCTGGAGGCGTGGCAACCGTAGCACACAGAGGTGACGCGTGTTGCCCAAGGTCCAAAACAGGTCAGTAGCAGAGCTAGGAAACCCAGGTCTGCTGATGCCCAGCCCCCTACCCACTGGGAAACATTGCCTCTCTTCCCCACTGCATACCTGCTAGGGCCATGGAGGCTGCAGAAGTTACTCTAGTGTTAGATCTGTGCGCATCACAATCTTTAATGTATTTGTCTTCACAGCATGGTTGTGAGGCAGGGCAGTGCTGTTATCCCTGTTTTACAGATGGGGAACGAGGTACAGAAAGACGATGTAACTTTCCCAGGATGCTTGTGGTGGAGCAGGATTTGAACCTGAATCTCCAACAGCCCAAGCTAGGACTCTCACTACCAGACAATCCATCCTCTCTCTGGAATACCCTCTGTAGCAGTGAGAGGAGAAAGGGGCTAGAGATGAGTTCCTGTCCATTGTGTAAATAATAAAAGAATATCTATTTATCTTGTGGAGAGAATATATTGTTTTTCTTGGGGACTCTCTCTTCCTCCCCACACACCCATCATATGACTGGGTGTATGATGCCCACTACCCTGTTAAAGTAGAAATGTCAGGCCTTGTTCAGTAATAAGGGCTGAGTAATGCACCTAATTAATGTCCGTCAGGGGAAGAGCTGAGACTAGAACCCATTGTCTCCTGCTGGTCCCAACCACAAGTACCTTCCTCTAGGTAAAATTAGTGAGGTAGTCGCTGTTGCCTTCCCCAGCTGGAGCTCTGGTTTTGTGCCCACTGTGTAGGAAGCCCTGTTGGGCTGGAGTGTGCCCGGTGCAGATGGATCTCCGGAGATCTTTAGCAGCAAACCTGTAATCAGTAATACTGAGTGTGTGCAAATAACCATGTTAACTCTTTTTTAACTCAACCCAGATCTGGCTGGACTTTCAGAATGACAACAAGAGGCACCTCCTTGACTCCAGGACCATCCTTCTGCCAAATTTCCAATCCCTGCTACAAAGTCTGGGGGTGCTAGAGCTCTTCAAAAAAATAACTGGCCAAAAAGTTGACATTGGCAAAACTATCTGTTTTTCCCTAACCTCATTCTTGGAAACAGCTGAACAGTTTTAACTGAAACTCCTCCCTCTTCATACCCTGTCTCCAGCAAGCCTGTGCTAGAGAGCAAACATGGAAATACCAGTCTGAACAACTGAAGTTTAGCAAAGTTATAACAAACTGAAAACAGGGGCTCATAATGGAGAGTATCTCGCAACCCTAACTATAGGCATCTCTTCCAGCTCACGCTATACTGATAAAAGGAACCTGGATCTAATTCATTTATAACTGCACCATTGAGGTTAACCTGATTCTCTTTCCCCTTCTCCCACCGATGTTCGGTTAAACCCACTTGTGATGTCTTGCCTTGAAATTAGATAAATATTCCCCTTTCCCTGACCGCTGTCTAATTGTTTGTCCTTGGTTCATGAGCCTACGTGGAGCACTGGCCTGGGAAAGCAGTTAGCATGCAGTGGGAACTACTGCAGATCAATAGTAATAGACTGCGTAAACAATTCAGAGCAGGGTCTGCATTATCTTACATGTGTGTCCAGCACTCACCACAATGGGGCCTTGGCTGTCACTTGCGGACTATGTGCTCTGGTGTAACACAAGTAACACTAGTACATGTGATGCTTCATTGCAACACTAGCCGTTGCTGTTTTAATCTAAGGAACGTAATTTTATGATCTTGCTTAAGAGATAAAATAAAGATACCGTGGCCCTGTGCCACTCAGGTCTGGCCCTGCTCCTGCAGTATAGTGGTATGCCGGAGCATGTCGAGCAGGAAAGGCTGCATGCTTGCAAATCTGAGTTTGCAGACTGGCCATGAAGGCTTGCTCTCGTCACTTCACGTTAGAGAGACCATGAAGCTAAATTAAGCTCCACGAACAGGTGGCAGAAAGCCATCTATGCCGCACCCCTCTCGGGGGTACTGAATATAGCTCAGACACACCTCCGTATCTGGCCCAGTATGTGCATCTACTAGCCTTTTCTTCCGTGATATTTGTCAAACTGTGGGTGCAAGGAATTATTTTGCACAGTGGCTGGAAGGTGATAGTAACTGCTGCACAGTTGTGCCTGGCATTGGAGGAGATTTGGATTGTAAGAGTGTCTTTGTTTGACCTGGTTGCAAGTGGTGAAATTAAAGGCCAGGGTTTTCCCAACTTTTGTATGAATAAGAGTGAAGCATTAAGGCCCTGATCCTGCATTGGGAACCATGTGGGGCTCCATGGGACTTCTGAGGCTTGCCCGGGAGGCTCTTGTTGCAGGGTCAGGGCTGCCCAGTTGTGTGATGGGTGGATAAGATTGGATGAGACTTGATAGTCCTAGGGAGAGCTGGGCTACTTATTTATAGAAACATTTTGGGAATTTATGTCAATTTTGCCAAATTGTTTTGATGGCCGGAAAAATAATCCAAAATAATTGAAATGTTCCATTTCAACACTGCCAAAAGGAAACCTTGGAATTTTCAGATTGAAATGATGTTTTGTTTTGAAACATCTTTTAATCTTATTTTAAACATTTTAAAAAGCGGATTTTTTTTTCAATTCACTTAAAATTTGAAAAATTTCATTTTTGGTTTGACCAAATTTTGTTTTGGTGGTTTTCGATTTGCCAGTGAACCAAAAAATCCACTATTCACACAGCTCTAATTGTGAGTTTTGTTTTGGGGCAGAGTTAAGGTTGTCCGGGTGCTGGTCAGTAGGAATTTATTGTTTATTGGTGTGCGTACTTGAACTGGTTTCAAGGATACCCACAGTTACATACCTTGTAGCTGATGATTTCCATATTTGCTCAAAGGTGGTGTGTTGTATTTTGGTAACCATGTATTATAATGGTCTGTTTTGTTTCAAGTTCAACTTCTTCTAGATGTTAACAGAGTTTTGTGTGTATGTGTGTGTGTGGGAGGGTGTTTAGAAATAAGCTGAAATAAATTTACTAGTGTGTGTAAAGTACCCCCCAAGTGTGGAGTATACGCTGTGCTAGAACCTGGGGCATTTCACGAACAAAAGTACAGGCCTTGGCCACTTAAATTAAAGGAGTTACTCCATTAGCTGTTAGCAGTAGTAGGCTCTTATCCACTATATGGGTCAGCCATGTGAGAGAGACCTGATCAGACTCACTTAGCCAATGTGGTATGAACTCTCCCACTCAGAGGAAGCTCATTCCAACTATCTGATGTCCACAGGAGTTCAAATTCCCCGACAGGCCACCACTTTGTAAAGACCTGTCGCAACAGGCCATTGACACCAAAAGAATTGGGATTTTCAGTGCCAAAGACACTGGCCCTTAGTACTATAGCAATGTACAAGATATTTGTGATGTGTCTCACAGGTAAGCTATTCTGGTACAGATCTCCATAAAAGCCAGGGGTGAAATTGACTTAATTGAAGTCAATGGCAAAAGTCCCAGTGATTTCCATAGAGCCAGGGTTTGACCCCAGATGCATTCCTGTGGTCTTACAATGTCTTTTGCGTTTCAGTAGCTTGTGTGATATTTCAAAACTAAAATTTTGCACAAAAAATGTATCTGATGTTTCTACCTCTGGAGAATTATTGAAATCTCAGACCCTATATTCTAAAATTTTTGTCCGACCTAAACCAGTATTCTTGCTCCTGCTCAAGTCTAAGAGTTGCCATGCATGGCTAATGCTCTTTCTTGTTCAGAGGCAACTCATTTACTAGTGGTAGTTACAAATTTTCTATTGGCATCTTGAAATATATATGACAGAGTCCAAACAGTAATTCCCTCTTGTTTCTTTCTCTTTGCAGGCTCTCTACAATTCGATCAAGAATGAGAAGCTTGACTGGGCAGTGTAAGTATACTGTGCAGAATTAATGATCTTAAAATCAGTCCCCGGTATGGTAATCCATTTCCTATGTACATTGCACTGTGATTAGACTCTGGAGACAATCATCTTGGTCCGTGAGACTCAAACATTGGATGCACTCTTACTTTAGAAAAGTCCATGTTCTACTTCCCTTCTCCTCAAGTAAGGAAAGTTGTTAGTTATGCAAATCAGCTGTGTCTGCAAGGAGGAAAGACATTTAATTCAGTAGGAAACTTCATCTTCAAAAGGCAGAAATATAAATCCTCTGTTTGTTCCATGACTACATAAATAAAACAGATGTTGAGTTTCTTCCTTTACCTTCCAGTGCATTGTGATGGAATCGCTGAATAGAAACGCAACTCTTGGATTGAGTTTCCTGTTCTTGGCTTGTTGTCTAGTATTGTCTTTGGATTAACTATGGAGAATTTGACAACAACCTAATATTAAAGAGACTTAATTCAGAAGAGGCCAATCTACCCGCCCTTATCTGCTTTTTGACAAGCTAATACTTCATCAGAACTCCATGCTAAACACAAGAGAAAACTTCTGTTTCTAACCATATTAATCGGCATTTCCCCTTATTCATCTTCTTTGCGGCATGAATACGCCAACAGGAAAGGGATGCACCAGCCCTAGATTGATGTCAGTGCTGAGTAGTGGATTTTGGTGTTAAAGAAAAGGGTTACACCCCAGAGTAGCTGTGTCTCTTGGAGATGTTTGCCTGCATGGCTCCACACCCAGGGTGATGCGTGCACCCTCAGTACGCAAGCTCAGCTTCCCGGCGCGCACAATCCATTGGGTCTGCTTGCATCCCGTCTACGCCCTTGTGTCCCCACCTGAGGGGTCATAAAAGGGAGCAGCCTCAGCCCCCACTCAGCTCCCTCTGCTCAACCAAGAATCTGTTTTATGACTTGGAATATTAGGGAAGGTGGACAGGTAATAAGAATCCGTGCAGGCAATCATCTGGAAGTGTGCAGCCATTATATGGATGAGCAACCGCTCTTCTTTCTGTGAGCGTTATCTGCAGAGAGCCCTGCTCCTGGTAATTAACAGACAGCTGCAAGACTCAAAGGGGGTGGATCTGAGGAGTCTCTCCTGAGTAAACATCGCAGGACTGCTCTCCCAAGCTGAGGCTCTGAGCTAGAATAAAGCAGCGTGGATATATGTATGGAGCTCCATGTCATATCCCAGCAACAGAGACGTTTTGTGGCCAGCCCCTGCAGCTGCCTTAGGCTTGGTGGAATGTGCCAGAATTTCATCTCGTTCTTGGCGAAAGCGTGCACAGAGACTAATCCACATGGACAACCTAGGTGGGAATCAATTGGCTCCTAGCATTATTCCCACGGTTTTCGGTCAAGGTGATTTACGGGGTGGTGTAGTCCTGTTCAGATAGCAGCTTAAAGCCCTCTGAATGCCTAGCCATTGCAGCCTGGTCTCCCCTGGTAGTGAGGAGGATTCGGGGGCAAATACAGGCAGGTTCGCGGAGGTGGAACTCGGAGACCCTTCTTGGATAGGAATTTGGGGTATGGGTGAAGGGCCACCTCATCCTCCTGGAATGCTGTATGTGGCTGGTCAGCCATTAGTGCCTGGGTCTCAGGGGCAATCCAAGCTCATGAGCAAGCTACCTCCAACCCCAGCTGAGGCAGGGCACATTCTGAGAACAGCTCTAATGGCAATCCTGTTATCTTAGGGCTGGACTACGAGCAGTGGCTGTGAAGGGCTGAGCCCGAAGCCGCCTTCCTCGTTGTGCGGTCACTGGTCACAATAGCAGTGCTTGGGCTCTGGGACTACTTATCCTGAAAAGAGAGGGACCATGACTCCTCCCCGCCCCTCTAGATTGGCCTGCAAAGGAGGGTGGACACATGAGAACAGTCGGCTCCGTCACAGTGGCTGGAGCAGCACGTTATTACCACCGGTGAAGCTGCTGTAGTGCTAGGTCAGCGCAGTCAGGATATTGAAGTGTGAAGAAATGCTGTTAATCTGGTCAGAGTCTCTTTGATAGCCAGAGATTCTCTTTGTTCCTGTAGGCTAAACCAGGGTTTCCGAGCTTTGACAGCAATTGATACGTGGTGGATTAAAGACCTGGGGCAGAGCAGGGTAATATGTGATATATGGTTGATATGTGATATATGGAGGACTGCTACATGATCCTCATCTCGTTCTTTATCGCTTGTTACTGGCTAGATTTGTCATCATTCTAAAAGACTTCTGTCCATGCTGCTGTTTACAGTGCAGTCACAGGGCTGGATCGAAAGCCCACTGAAGTTCATGAAAGGCTCCCATAAATTTCATTATCGAACCTGTAGACAGAAAAGCATCACTGTATTCAACACATCCACTCCCTGGTGTGGTCAAAATCGGACACTTCAGTTAGTAGCAAAAGCTTTTAGTTATACTCCTATCAGCAGGGCAGAGTAAGTGCGGCTCTGGGAGGGTGAGCTGTGGTCCATTCCTTCTCAAGTACTATCAAAGACAAGTGCTAACTTAGCTGCCATTGCAAAGCTGTCGGCTATTAAAATGAACCATGTCTTGTGATTTGTAATGTGTTCAGCTCTGATCTGGAAGTCGCGGAGAGCCTCTCAATATGGGATCCTGTATCTCTTTTCCTTCATACAGTCATTTTTCAGAGAAGAACACTGTCAGGAAAGATACCTTATTTTAGCTGCTTCCCAATTCCTCTTGCATGAAATCCGTTTAGTAGGATTGAACGAGATAGGAAGTGTGATGAGGGAAATGGAGATCCTCGGAAATTTGATAGTTGTTCTTTCTTTTTTTTCCTCCTTCCTTCCACTCCTCCATAATCTCTGCTTGTTTACTTATAGGTGCAGATCTCCCCTAGCTGTGTTAAACGTCCGGTCTGTAGTTTAAAGAGTGAGGGACATGGGGGAGGGTCGGACTACATAGGGATTGACACTATTTTTGCCTCATGCTCCCGGGAACATGGAGCTATAATTGTACTGGGGCTATAGGAAGCCTTGTTTTTTAGGGTGGGGGAAGCGACAGAAACATGACAAAGACAATGACTGAAATCCTGATATCACTGAAGTCAAGAGCAAATTTCCCATTGTCTTGAGTGGAGCTGGAATTTCACACCATTAATCCCTGAGGTACCTCCAGTGATGTCAGTAGAGTTACGCCTGGGATGAATTTAGCCCAACAACTGGTATATAACTTTACATCCTTCTACTGAATTAAACTCCCCTCAGGGTCTCCAGTATCACCACGAGGTTCTTGTGGGTGTACATTTGTATTAGGAAGTTAAAGTCTTGCTATCCTCTCCTAATATCAACCCTAAACTGTTGGGCGAGATGGGTATGATTTCCATGCCTGGTGCTATGCTGGAGGTCAGACTAGATGGTCATAATGGTCCCTTCTGCCCTTAGAATCAGATGGATCCTTACCAGCTCCATCGTGGAGAAGGATACTGAGTTTGACTTGCTTCATTTTAGGCGTAGAATAATCTAAAGTGAAATATGTTTCATTTGCATGATATTTAGGTGGAGCACAGAGATCAGCATTTCCCCCATTGTTTATAACAAGTATGTTTGCTCCCCATGCAGACAATAGAAGTAAGAATTAGAGTGTAGAATAGGGTGAATGGAGACACAATATATAATATACATGCTTGAAGAATTGTTCAATGAAGATCCTTGCAAATCCATGGTCTGCATTCAAATTATCCATATCTGTAAGGCCTTTTTCAAAGCAGGGTTATGTAGATTACAGAAAAACAGTGGTGTCTTTAAAAAAAGAACAGGAGTATTTTTAGTCTGCTGGTGAAACAACCTTTACCTTTTATAAAATGGAGGTATTGGGATTCCTTTTTTAGTCTGAAGTGTACAGAAAAAATGACCCCACCAAGGGAAAAAAATAATGAAATTGTGATGGAGAATTTTACTACTTTTGGGAAAAGGAAAATCCCCAAATTAAATTTATTGTTGAGAATTGTAACAGTGCCTGGTACGATGGGGTCCTCGCTTACAACTAGAGCCTCTAGGCGCTATGGTAGTATAAATTATTATATTATTATTATTAATAATAATGCTAAAATTCAGGGTATTGTAAACTAGTGTTGCAGTTCTGTTCTGAAATCTGCCTTGTAACTGCACTTGCGTGATCCTCCTGCACATGCAGTCTGGAGATCCCCTTCTGCACGGGAACTGCCTCCTTTAAATGCCAGTTCTCAAATGCTTCTTGTTTGCCTCTGTTCCAGAATTAGGTTTGGGAACGGGGTATCCTGTTACTCCCCCCACATCGTGGATCTGGGGTCCTGGGAGAGTGTGATGGTTTGTCAAGTGAGAGGCTGGAACTCATAGAGGCAAATATTAGCATAGGTACAGATCTCCATAACTGGACCTCACAAATATAAAGATTTCAAGCATTCATATCTTCTTGTCATTGCTAAACCAATTCATTTGCCATGGGATTGCTTTTTCCATATCTCCTCACTGGCGAGGAGGGGAGAAGCAGTCTCTTCAAAAGCAAGGGCTTGATCCTGCAGTTCTCACTCACGGACTTCCGTAAGAGCTTGGCAGGGGCGGGTGGTAGAATTGGGCGCCCAAGCCACGGAGAAACAGTTAGTTACAAATAGCACTGGCTGAAAATATTCCCCATAAAAGTTTTGTCACTAGAAAATGGCTTTTTTATGTCAAAATGTTTAAAGTTAGGGTTGTGCTTAAATACTTTGTTGATCCAAAACTTACGGAAGACAATGGGAGACAGACATCCCACTGTCTTCAGTGGGTTTTAGATCAAGCCCATAGTAAAAAAATATGCTTATTAGAATAACCTAAAGAGAGGAAAAATTCTGAAAAATAAAGCATGTGTAGAAATTAAGAAGATGAAACCTTGCAGGATAATGGCGCTGGGCGCTGGGTTTTTCACTTAAACTTTGTGTTCATCTCTTTTTAGAGACGAAGAGGAGAAAAAAAAATCTCACTCTGATGGCACTGATGAGAAGGATAGTGGACCCCATTCAAAGGCCATCACTCGGATCGGCCATTCCAATAACCCCTTCCTGGACATTCCTCATGATCCCAATGCTGCTGTGTATAAAACTGGATTTCTGGCTCGTAAAATCCATGCAGATATGGATGGAAAGAGGAGTGAGCATCTTTTATGTTTGTTTTATCTCTTAGGTACCTCTCTTCACCCTCCAGTGGCTTGTGGCCTTGTGCCCATGAACGAGAACAAGCCTGCTACATCTAGGTTGTCGAAGGCATAAGAAACAAAATAGCAGTTTGATTATCACAGCAGAAAAGAACACTATTGGGCCATTTTGAGGACTATTCCATGCCCAGTAGCATAAAATTAATGGTACCCATGCCTTTGCTTTAGTGAATTTGTGCAATGAAAATGTAATATCGGAGAGCAATGTGTGTCTTTTGTGCTTAAAGAAACCGAAGTGTTGTTCACAAAACTCAGACCAGTTTTATTGGAAGTACTGTAAGTTCTGTTCATGGACTTGCCAAATAGTCCTCAACTTTTGCCATCTGTGATTCCAACTTACAACAGAAATTTTTCATAAAGAAGGGAAGGATGGTCCTGTCCCCTTAAAACACCTGTTTGCAACCCCCTGTTTGCAATGGTTGTCACAGTCCCCATCTGAGAATCCAAGGATTGGTCCATCCCTGTAGAAGTTCACTGGCCTTTCAGAATAACCCTGTAATCTAGCAGGTCATTCCTTGTTAGTGATGTATAATGCTCTCGTTCAAATTAGACCTTGCATCCTTTCAGAAATAGGATGTTGTTTGGTACCTCCTGGCCCCTTATTCATAATAAATGTGCAGCTACGTTTGGTTGCATTTCCGGCTTTTAACTTCATATTTCCTCATTGCCGTAACTCTACAACGGAGGCCTCATTATTGAGGGCTTTTTGGGGTAGGGGGTGTATTTGTGCACAAGCTGTTTTTATACTGTTGAAAACTGCAGTCGTCACTGTAATATGAAGCCTTGTTTTTTAGGGTGGGGAAAGCGATAGAAATGTGGCAGAGACTACTGAGTGTATCCGTGTTTTCCCGATTGTTGTTAATGTATATGTGGTGTTAGCTCATATTGCAATTGCTGGGATTAACACTGAAAACAAAATCTGACTTTATTATGGGCTATGAATACCTGCTACACTTTTTCAATTGTGTACAAGTATCTTAAGGTTGTGTCATGTATTATGCTAGGGTGTCTTAGAACCAAAACTTAAAGGTCAACATTTTCAGAGTTGGAGCCCTAAAGATAGACTCCTAAATCCATATTTAGGTTCTTTTGAAATCAGAGTGGCCTGATTCTTCTTAATAATTAGGCCACCTCATTGGTTAAACTTCATGTTTTAAACAGGTTCTGAGCAGTGGCTTTGAATTACTTCACCAACATCCCACTCCAGGTTTGCTAGTGGTGTCCACTCCCTTTACAAATCTTAAGGAAGAATTGTGTGCTTCCTTTGTTATGCTATTTGCTTAATCAGAACAATAAAAATTGTGTATTACTTAATGGACTAAAGATTACACTTTCTGCAAAAACCCTAAACACGATTAAGTCATTTAGGACAAATTTTTCAAAAGTGCCTGCATGACTTAGGAGCCGAAGTTCCATTAAAAGTTAATGGGACTTCATCTTCTAAGTCACTTAGACACTAAAGTCACTTAAAAACTTCTGTGAGAACCTTAACAAGGTGACAGTACTTATACAGTGTATAAGTACCTTCAAGGGGAAAAAATACCATGGGGTTAAAGAGCTGTTTATTGTAGCTGGAAGAGGTGTTTTAATCCATCACAATTTATGCTTTAGTCAAATACCAATAGGCTTAACAGAGAATAATGCGGTGAAATGTAATGGCCTGTGTTATGCAGGAAGTCAGACTAGATGATCTAATGGTCCCTTGTAGCCTTAAGCTCTATGAATCTACAAACAGTGCATTTTTACACCATAACATGTTCGAATGTCTTTGAAGTAAAAACAAGGAGGAGTCCTTGTGGCACCTTAGAGACTAACACATTTATTTGGGGTATACTTTGAAGTGTAGCTTTAACTCTGAATTCCCTGGCTTTGTAATGCTTGGTTTGGGATAATTACAAGTTTATTGTGTTTTCACTGGTGTGGTCCTTCAGCTTTAATGCCAGCTTAATATAGGAGTTAGTCTGGGATTTTAGTTGTCTTCCATCATTTTCTCTCCTTCTGCTAGGAAGAGGGGACTGGGGAAGCAGCTGAAAACTTGATCCTGGTTTCCTTGTGGCTGCAGCAAGAGGGATGGATGCTTTGTTTGCCATCCCCTACAGAGTGGCACTGTAACAGTTATGGGTGGTGCCTGCCTGCATTTAGAGAAGTTCCCTCCAATTCCTCTATCTGGTGGTCTTGCACTACTCTAAGCCTCTGCCGCGACACAGAGCTTGGACTGTGCTGAATAGCATGGGAGGGTGTGGCCCACGCATTTCCCACTCCTGCTGCTGGTGAAATCCATGTTGTCAGGCTTGCAGAATAGGAGAGGGACCTGTACTGCAGCTGTTTTCTGCCTGCTGACCCGGGCCCGGCCTGTAATCTTGGCTGTTTTGTTTCCCCCAGCCCTAGCTGCAAAGCAGGCACTCTGGCTAGTTACGCTCCCCTTTGAAAAGCAGAATACAAGAGTCGTTGAATGCAGAATTAATGTAGGTTTCCTGTTGCCTGGACGAAGGGTAAAATGGATTTGAGTTAAATGGGTTGCATTTCTTTTGTTTTCTCTTTAGCTCCCAGAGGGAAGCGTGGCTGGAAAACCTTCTATGCTGTGCTGAAGGGAACAGTGCTTTACTTGCAAAAGGTAAAAGAAATAGCTTTCTTTGAGAGGGATAAAGCAAGGGTTCCCAACCCTTTCCTGTTGGAGCCTCCCTTCAGCTGGGCACCCGCTCTGGCTTCCCAAGACCCACATGGCACATCTCCAGTCCGAACACAGATCCTCTCCCTGCCTGTCACTCTGACGACGTCTCTCTCTCTCTTTCTTAACTCTGCCCATCCCTACTCGTCTGCTGCTGTCATTCACGGCTTCACACGTTCTGCCCTACCAGTGAAGACAACATCATCTGCCTGTTTGTCACACACATATCTCCGTGCTACCTTCCATGCTGCCTGTGTGTATGGACCTTCTTTCCTGAACTGATGCAGAAGGCCTCTACCACCTTCTTCAGATCCCTTCTTGAGACCCCCGTCTGCCATGATGCAAGTCAGACACTAGTCCGTTAATCATGGCCTGAGAGGAGGCTAGGGGGAGGATTTGCCTTCAAACTGGCCAGAAACAGGGCGGGGATTTTATTCTAGATCAACATGAAATGCTGAAATTTCCTGCAGTGAACAAAAATTCAGTTTGGAACCATTGAATTGTTTTGACTTTACATAATGTTGAAATATTAAATATAAAAGACCAAACTAAATGATAAACTTGAAACAAAACAGTTTTACCATATCAAAAGGAAACGAGAAAGTCAAAACTTGGTTTCGACTTTTTCCCGTCAAAGCTTTTGTCAGAAGTGACAGGCTTCCGCAAAATGTTTTGATTCCACGAAATCCACCTTAGGGAGAAACGAAGCATGGAAAAATCTCAGTCCAGAAGTTCATTGTTTCAGGAGAAACAGGATTTTTGCAGAGTCTGGCATGCTTAATTTTAGTGAAAGCTACAGAACTGTGGTTTTCAGCACAAAGGCTATGTTTACACTATGGACCTTACAACAGCTGCGCGGCTGCACAATCTCCCATGTAGCCACTCTATGGACAGTCCACACCGGTGCTTTTGTCAGTGAAACGTATGTCAGTCAGAGGTGTGGTATTTTCACACTCCTGACCGACAAAAGTTTTGCCAACAAAAGTGCTAGTGTACACAAAGCCTGAATGATATGCAAATTATCCTAACTTCCAGAAAAGCTCTAGCTTCCGTGGAAGCTCTTCTGAGAATTGCATTGCTCTGCCATATGTATGATCTTGGGCAAGTCACGTCCCTTCTCTGTGCCTCTTTTAGCCCTCCCACATTTTGTCAGTCGAGATTGTGAGCTGTTCGCTTCAAGAATACTCTATCTCTATACAGCACAATGGAGCCCCAATCTCAGCAGTGACCTCTAGATGCACAGTAAGAATAACTGGTAGATATATCAAGAAAAGGAGTACTTGTGGCACCTTAGAGACTAACAAATAAGGTGCCACAGGTACTCCTTTTCTTTTTGAGGATACAGACTAACACGGCTGCTACTCTGAAAACTGGTAGATATATCATCTTCCAAAGGGCAACATGGACCTGATTCTGCTCTCACACGATTTACTATCCATGTTTCTTTTTTCAAAGACACCTATTACAGTGGGTATCTAAAGGACGGTAACTCCAAGTTTACACTTGTATAAGCATCAGCAGAATCAGAGCCTATGGCCACATATTCAGTGGAACAGGGCCAGTGCTAACTGCTGTCTTGCCTGTTGTTCCATTATTAAATGAGTGATTTGAGAAAGATGCTTTCTGAATCAATGAGCAGCCAGGCTGCCAGAGGGGCTTTGCTGAAACACTTGCAATTAGCCAACTAAATACGTCTTCCCAAGATTATATAAACTCAGAAATTTGACGAGCTTATAACGTCTGTCCTGTGCATGGAAGCCTCGAGTCCCAGATTAATTTCCTGCCCTCTGTCATTCTAATGTGACGGGAAGTCAGTGGAACTGGAGACTGTCACAATGTCTCGTCATTAGCCTGAGCTGAAATGGGATGCATGTGTAGAAGACTGTGAGCTTGAGCTGGTTTTCACGTAATAAAAAATGGTTTCTTGACAAATGGTGCAGTAAAGCAGGCCACCCGGGTGTATTTGGATTGGGTTTTGTTTGCAGCGATACTGTTTTTGTGATGTTACACTGTATCTTTGTGATGCTATGGGGTAGGATATTCTGTGTATAAATTTGCTCAGACCCTTTTCTTCGACTAGCAAAAAATAAAAATAAAAAAATTGACCTGAGACGATAAATGACGTAAGGACAGAGCCCATACCTAAGTAGCTGCTCCTGGAGACCTACAGGGTCTTCAGAAGAAAAGAGTTTTACAGTGATCGTGCATAGCCAGTGAAGACGTCCACCCACTGTACAATAGCTGGTAACCAGCAAAATGTCATGCTGGGGTTCTCTAAAAATGGATTAAGGAAGGCCCAGCCCAAGTCCGATGGAAATGGAACAGGCAGTTCTGGCTGGCTACCTGGAATCCAAGGAGAGAGGAGTTCAGTAGGACGCTGAGACTGAACACTGCATTAAAGGATGACTTCAGCGGATAGAGAGGCCAGAGCTCCTGCCAAATTCTTCTGTCATGCTGCTCCAGTGTAACTGGGTTTGGGTCTGAGCCAGCCGACTTCGATTCAGACAGTGGAACTTCAGGGGAATTGTGTTGTGCCTGTTTAAAGGAGATGTGTAGCCTGGTGTTCTCCAACTACTGGGGTCCTTCAGCCCAAGTCTCAGCATCCCGTATCAGCTCTACCGGACTGAGGGCTTTTGTGAGGGAAGTTTGATTGCCCATCACAAGCCTCTAGACTTTGTCTGAGAGTAACAAAGTAAAATTGTTTTAAGAGATTCCATGGTTCCCTTCCCAGGGCTTTCAGGGAAGTTAACAGAGGCCCAAAATCAGTGGTATTGCTGCCAGTTGACCAATAGGATTCACGTGGGTGTTTGACTTAGGTCCGTAGATAAGAAGGGATCATTCTGTCTCCGTACGTGTCCAGGTGTGAAGCCTCCTTGGGAGGGGGATACTGGAGGGAGTCAGATACTGCTGGAGTTGACTTACCATCATCATCCCCCCTCCCAAGAAGTGGGGGAAGTGCGAGACAGGGCAGTAGCTGGCCAAATCATTGACATCCGGTGACCATTTTAGAGCCAGACTACTGCAGGCTTGAAGCTTATCCCAGCTTGCATCTCTCCATGGAGCATTGCCAATCTCCATCTTTTCTCCTTGCCATGGGACCATGCACACTCCTTATGCCACATTTGATTAGATTCAGAGGGGTTCTTTTGCTCCAGTCTCCTACCCTCTTGTTGTCTCCATTGCAGGTCTTAGCAGAACCATAGCGACTCTTGCAAATGACAGGCAGGGGGAGGTCTACAGGCCAGTGCATTGGTTTTGAACAGCAAATGGTGATAATGACCTACCAGACCCACCATTGCATGGATCCTGTGTCTGAGAAAACCACCCGGATCATCGGCGTCTCTGGGGGCAAACCAGCACAGCCACTCCATGACCCTGGTGGGGGGGATGGAAAGCTCTGTCCTGCATTCAGGGGTCAGAGATGGTCAGCCCATGAGAGTGGTGTGCTTACTGCACCCGCAGCGTGAAGATCGGGTGCAGGCTGTGTCCTGCTGCGTGAGCCACCTGGCGGAATCCTGATGAAACCCTAACTCAGCAAGTCAATGGTTTAATTTGTGTGGACACTGAACTAGCCAAGGTGGTGAGTCGAGGAAACCCGTAATTCCAGGCTTGGTAGCAACTTAGTTAGCTCTGACTGCAGAGTGGCATGTATATCCTTAGAATTCCCACGTAGGTTTAATCGTGCTCAATTGGCCAGCTCCATGGAGTTACACTGATTTACACCAGCTGAGGACCTGACCTAGTGCAGGGCACTCAAATGAGTCAGTTCCCTTAAGCGGGGCCTCCATTTAAAGCATTGCTGCACCGTGCATTGTCGTTCCTAGAGCAGGTCTGCCCAGTAGTGTCTGATAATCACAGAGACAGATCACCCATGGCCAGAGCTTATTCTCCCCCCTGAAACATTAGATCCCCATTATGTGGCAGCTATGCTCCACCCTGCTCAGCACCAGGAGTCCCAACGAGACACATCTGACATCAAGATTGGTCAACATCATGTGGTCATAGGTTAGGGATGGATAGAGGTTAAGTGCTATTTGCAACTTCTCTTTAAGCAACTTGGTGTAAACTTACACCAGTGCAGCATTGCCAGGAGGTGACTTGTCCCTTGACATGCCTCTGGAATGCCCTATTTTTGGCTGGCTGTGCCACCTTCACATGTTGCACACGTATGCACAACCCCTGGTTGACTAGTGTCTTCGCGGCTTCACTTTACAACACTGCTGTGTCTCAGATTGTATTGGGTTTTTTTATTGATTCTGATTTTACACTGGTTCGACACCATGTGAGATCCAAAATCAGTTTCTGGGGTATGACTTAAGAACACTGAGGAATGTAGCCCTCTAGGATATATTTAACTTCTTCATGACACTTACTGTTCTTCCCTCTTCTTGTCGGGAAGGTGGTGGAATTCCTTCACTTCTTTGCTGAGATATTAAAGAATCTTAAAGGGTAACATTTTAAGAACTCGAAAATGGAAATGTTTATAGGACAGATTAGGTTCAACTGATATTTTTATAATCATTGCTCATGGCTCTTCATGGAACATGACTGTGTTAGGTTAAAGGAAGAGATGAACAACCTGAAATAACTTGTGCCGTCTTTTCGTTGTAATTACTGCAGGATGAATATAAACCAGAAAAGGTTTTGTTTGAGGAGGATCTGAAAAATGCAGTCAGCGTGCACCATGCATTGGCATCAAAGGCGACAGACTATGAGAAGAGGCCCAACGTCCTAAAGCTCAAAACAGCTGACTGGAGGGTCCTGCTTTTCCAAGCCCAGTATGTTCCGTTCACTCCGAGTTTTTCTAGGGCTGTTTTGTTTGTGGGCAGAAAAGGATTGGGAGGAGAGGGGTATGATTGTAATCTCTGGCAGGAAGGTAGGGGTGAGTTCATGACTTAAAGGGTTAAGTGGGACGCTAACGGAGATCAGTCTGTTCAGTTTATCAAAAAGGTGATTAAGAGGTAACTTGATTAGGATGTGAGAGTACCTTCATGGGGAGAAAAGACCAAGTACTGAAGGGCTCTTTACTCTATCAGAGAAAGACATGAGAAGCAATGGCTGGAAGTAAAAGCCAGATGAAGTTCAAATGGGAAATTAGCACAAATATGTAGCAGTAGGGGTGAGTAATCACTGGAACAAACTGCCAAGGGAAGGCAGTGGTGGATTCTCCATCTATTGATCTCTTCAGATCAAGAGTGGAGGCCTTTCTGGAAGGTATGTTAGCCAAACACAAGGTACTGGGCTCAGTTCAGGAGTAAATGGATGACATTCTATGGCCTGTGTTAGACAGGAGATCAGATTAGATTATTTTAGGGTCCCTTCTGGCCTCAAAAAAAAAAATCCATGTTCTGCTTGAGCCCTGATCATCCCGTGAGATCTGCGTGGGCAGACTGCTGCACCCCACAGAGTCCCCAGGAGGCCAGCAAGGCTTCATGAGGGCACAGGAGTCAGCCTGCAAGAATCAGAATACACGTTCAAGGCCTTAGAATATGCAGCGAAATAGAACATCAGCCAGCCTGTAGGTTGTCTGATGGATTTTATAGCCTAGGTCAGTGGTTTTCAAACTGTGGGTCGTGACCCAGTAATGGGACACGGAATGTAAGACACTGGGTCGCGGCAGCTCTGGTCAGCACTACCGACCGGGCCGTTAAAAGTCCCGTTGACGGTGCTGCCCGACTAAGGTAGGCTAGTTCCTACTTGTCCCGACACTGCGCTGCGCCTCAGAAGCAGCCAGCAGCAGGTCCAGCTCCTAGGCGGGGGGACACCACGGGGCTCTGCGCACTGGCTCCACACTTCCATTGGCCAGTTTCCAGCCAATGGGTGCTGGGGGGTGGTGCCTGCAGGTGAGAGCCACACAGAGATGCTTGTGCGCCTCTGCCTAGGAGCCGGACCTGCTGCTGGCCGCTTCTGGGGCGAAGCGGTCCACAGTGCCAGAACAGGCTGGAAGCCGGTCTCTGCACCCCAGCTGTGCCACTGACCAGAAGCCGCTGGAGGTAAGCCCGCTCCCCTGCCCCAGCCATGAGCCCCCCTCAAACACAGAGCCCCTTCCTGCACCCCAAACCCCTCATCCCCAACCCCACTTCAGAGCCTCTGCCCCCCCGCCCAGAGCCTCTGCCCCCCTCCTACACCCCAATTCCCTGCTCCAGCCCAGAACCCTCCTACATCCTGAACCCCTCATTCCAGGCCCCACCCCGCAGCCTTCACCCCTTCATCCCAACCCTCTGCCCCAGCCCTGAGCCCCTCCCACACCTCAAACCCCTCTGCCCCAGCTCCGTTGGGTCGCAGGCATCAACAATTTTCTTCAACTGGGTCGCCAGAAAAAAAGTTTGAGAACCACTGGCCTAGAGGGCCTCCGCTGAATTACAAGTAATAAAGGCAGGAAATACAGCAAAGCATTCTGGCTTTATATTTGCATGCCCTTGCTAGCAATTTACCTGCCACTTGTAGCACTCAACATTGAAAATCCAAATTATTTTGATGTGATTTGTTTGTGTAGTCTCAGCCCATTTGCAGCTGTCCACAGTATGTTCCTGCTGAACCACGATATGGTATAGAAATTGAACACCATTAATGATCCCACAGCTTGCTCCAGAGGAAGCACATGCTGAAGGCTTGACTATGCAGCACTGCAGTAAGAACTAGGGGTGTGTGGTATCAAAAGCACTCTACTGTGTTGCTCTCTGCCTGCCATGTGTAGAGCCTGCTGGTGCACTCTAAAAGTTACCTCGTTCGTGCTGACGTAGTCCCATTTCAAACAAAACTGTACCGGTAGGATCCCACCGAGAGCCCTAGTTTGACAGTGGTTATGTTCTTCTGAGGATGATTTTCACACCTTTCCATCTGTATCTGGCAAAGATTTAAGCTTGGCTTTATGCAGTAGTCACGGTCCCTAAAGTTAAGCATGCGTGAAAGTCTTTGCAGGACCAGGACTACAGTTGGAAGAGATGGAAACCAGACACATCTATCTTGCATATACATGATTTTCTCCAACCCAGGTTTTATACCATCCGATATACTTTGCTTGACCCCTCCCTACATCACCAGGGCCATCAAGCCCTCAGTCAGTGGTACTGCCCATGCAGTTTTTAATAGCCTGCAGTAGATTTAATTGAAGGTCTTGGAGTTCTTTGCTGTGGGTCTTGGTGCGGCAGTAAACTCAGTGTTTTACAGAGGCTGGTTAGTTGAGAAGTGCAGAAAGAATTGTGTTATTAATTGCCTTCTGCAGTAAGAAGTAGGGGAGAGGGATTGGAAAAGTGAGGTCGAAGGCAGGATTTTGTGTCTTGGGTAGGCAAAGTAGAAGCTTGGACAAGGGCCATTCCTTAAGTTAAATTTAATCGGGAAGTAGTCGCTGCTTGTGTATTCTGTGGCTCAGTAGTTGATTGTGGAAGGGAAGTTATTAGCAATCAAGCTAATGGTGCAGCCATGTTTGTGGTTCAGTGAAGCCACTGAGGATGTAAAGAAGAAATGAGCAAATTAAGGGGTGAGAGCATTTTGCCTGTCATCAAAATGGATGTTTCCAGCCAACCTCTAACTGAAGTGGTTAGGAAGAAACTTCCTCTGTATGCCACCCTCTGAGACTTCTGACACTAGCCACTACTGGAGGTAGGACACTGAGCTAAATGGCAGTTCATATGTCCCTATGCTGACAGCAAGGAGGAACAGGGAGGAGACGCTGAGGTCACCGATGTTCTGATTGCTCTCCATCTGTCTTCCACAGGAGCCCAGAAGAAATGCAGGCATGGATCAACAAAATCAACCGTGTGGCAGCAATATCTTCTGCTCCACCCTTTCCAGCTGCTATTGGCTCTCAGAAGAAGTTCAGTCGTCCACTGCTGCCGGCCACCACAACAAAGTTATCTCAGGTGAGCCGTTACCATAAAGAGCATATCTCCCTTTGTCCGGAGATGAGCTTGGAAGGTTCTTCTGAAAGCTTGAAGCTATGTTGTTTTGTTGCTATCAGTAGTAAAGCTCCTCTGCAAACAGTCTTGCTAGCACTTCCATCTAAAGGAGTTTATCTCTACTTGCTTCTTAGGACCAGAAATATTTGCAGAGTTAAAGGTGGGGAGGGGATGGAGACTTGATGTAATTTGTTTGTGCTTCTGAAGAAAGGGAGGTATCACCAATAGCCTTAGGTCATGGCTACTCTTGCAGATGTAGAGCGCTGGGAGTTAAACCAGCCTTCGGAGACCGCAGCAGGGAAAACGCTGCCATGTTTTTACACTGTCAGCTGCAAGTGCACTGGCGTGGCCACATTAACAGCTCTTGCAATGCCACAGAGAGCAGTGCATTGTGGTATCTATCCCAGTGTGCAAGTGGCTGCACCGTGCTTTTCAAATGGGGGGTGGAGTGTAACAGGGAGTGTGTTGTGTGTATGTGGGGGGAGAGAGAGTGGGTTTTGGGGGGGCCAAGAGTGTGTCAGCATGCTGTCTTGTAAGACACACACACACCCCGTCACACAAGCTCACAACAGCAGCATTCCACAGTAATGGTTTGCTTTGTCCCGGAGCAGATAAGCAGCCGGCTGTCTGCATTCCTACAGCCGATTCCAAAACAATGACAAGAGTTGCCACTTGATTTAAGGGGATTATGGGACATTTCTGGAGGCCGATCAGAGCGCAATAATGCAATACCTCGTTCACACTGACGCCCGGGCATTTCAGCCAGGGTGCAACAAGCTCTATGCTTCTCATGGAGGTGGATTACCAGGAGTGCTCCAGCTGCTGGAGTCCGGGCGCTCCATGTGCCTTGCCAGTGTGGACACATCAGGAGTTAGGGTGCCCGGGGCTTCTTTAGTGCGCTCTAACTTGCAAGTGTAGCCAAGCCCTTAGGCTCATTTACACATCAGATAGAAAGTCCTTGTCTTCTGGGTGTGGCTAGGAATGTAAGACATTCCAGGCACAAGAGCACAACTTTATGCCTATACTCCTTGACCCTGTAAGATTTAATTTATTTGAGAGTCTTCAGTCTCCTCCTCCTGAAACAAATCTTAGGTCAGGGGTTCTCAAACTGGGGGTTGGGACACCTCAGGAGGTCATGAGGTTATTACATGGGGGTTCGCAAGCTGTCAGCCTCCACCCCAAACTCCACTTTTCCTCCAGCATTTATAATGGTGTTAAATGTATTAAAAAGTGTTTTTAATTTATAAGGGGGGGTTGCACTCAGAGGCTTGCTATGTGAAAGGGGTCACCAGTACAAAAGTTTAAGAACCACTGCCTTAGGTGTTTCTTGAATTTAGGTATTTTCTTTGTGCCCACGGACTTCCCTGAAATCTTATCCCATGCATTTATTACCCTTTGGGCTTAGTTGGATGAGAAAAGTGGGCCATGAGCCACCTTCCTGGCTTATTGACCCTGGGGCCAGCCAGAGGCCGGTTCATCATCCAGTGTCACTTTAGAGCAGCTTCAGAGCTGCTCTAAGATGCACATGCTGTAGAACAATGTGCTCTGGGCCCCCTCCTGGTGCATCTATGGGAGCTGTGAGGGTGATTGGCATGCAGCTAGCTAGGCTGGCTTGTGGCCCCCCGCAGATTCTCCACCAGTGGGGGAATGCCCTGTAGGATGTGTGAGTCTCCTCTGTGTTCCTTTTGTACCACAGTAGTAGAGGACAGAATCTAATCTGTGGAATGAAGCGATCCCGAGTATTTTATCTACTGCTAGCATTGTGAAAGAAATCTCTCTGAACTTCATTACTCCTTTTCCTAAATTTGAAAGGCTTTATGCCATCATCACCATTTACTGACTCGCCTTCAGAATTTCTTAGCTCTCAGAGCTGTTCCTCATAACCTAGATTCTTCAAAGCCACCTTCTGACAATATCATTCTTCCAGTGGCCTGGAGATTAGCACTTCAAGCTGTATTTTTGGTGGAAGTCTAACAAGTGCCTTAAACAAGAGTAATAGTACTTGTCTTGTTCTGGGTTTTCACCTTCTGTTAATACAAACTAGTGTCTTGTTTGCCATTTTTTCACTGCAGCTCTGCCACGGCTTGAGGTTTCAATAATTCACCCACAGCCATCAAAAAAAATCCTTTCACTGATCACTGCGCTGAGATAGCATTCCATTTAGCACACCGTTTCCTAGCTTCATTGTTTCCATTTTATCAGGAATAACAAAAAAAACAACAAACCCCTGTGGTTTGCATACTGGTAAAAGGGTGACATGAGAAGCAGAATAAGTGAAGTTATTTGAGCTAATAGCAAAAGATTGTTATTTTTTCAAAGCAGATAAATTCAAAGACAAGCTAAAACTTGTCTGCTTTTATCTGCAAGCTGGAGAGGTTGTAAGCAGGCTGTTTCTCATTCTGCAGAGGATGAAATGTGAATGATCAACTCTTTCTGGTCTCCGTGTTAGTTTGTGAGCTGAATCAAGACGACCACGACAGCACTTGCTTCAAAGGATCTGCGCCTGCTCAGAGTAAAATCAGTGTCGTCATTTTCATTGGCAGCAGTGGCAGCAGGGTCAGACCCTGACAGAAACGGGAGATAAGGAGGAGACGAGACAAAAATAATTGTACTAAGTCGTTTCACCAAGTTCACCTCCCGTGTTTACATCCTATAGTTGGCTGCTAACAGGGATGTGATAAAAGTATTTAATTATTTGGTCTACAGAAGGTAGATGAAGAGCTTCTGTTTTCCCTTTCTCATAACACCTGAACAAGGGAATGTTCAGTGAAACTGAAAGGTGGCAGATTCAAATCGATAAAAGGCCGTGCTTCTTCCACATGTGTGGTTAGACTGAGAAACTCTCTGCCACTGGAAGTTGAGGCCAAGAATTTAGCTAGAGCAAAAAAGGGATTGGAGGCTTATATAGATATCAGGAATGTCCTGGGCTGTTATAATGAATGGTAAATATTTTTGGAACGGATATCAAACCTCGTGCTTCAGGGCTTAAGCCAACCTGTTAGAGATCAGGGTGAGATCTGATGTCTCTCTCTGCACGGTCCTTGCACTTTCTTCCGGTGCATCTGGTGTTGGCCACTGCTGGACTAGGTGGACTTTGGGTCTGATCCAGTCTAGCAGGTCCTGTGTTGTCAGAAACAGATGAGATTTCACCATTTCTGCTCATTCCTGCAGTGCTAGTTCAGTGGGCTGAGGAATAACATTAAAGTGCAGTGCTGAATTTAAAGCCCAGTCCAACCCAAGATCAGAAATAAGACCGCTCTGTAGGGCCGGCAGGACCTAAGAAGTGCATATTTTGAAGGAGAGCGAACAAGTACTGGGAGTTGCAGAAGCGTGCCATTGTCTGCCCAGATGGTTGAGTGGGTTTGGGATGATTGTGACAAAGGAAATGGCCTAGAAAGAAAGAGTAGCAAGTCCTTGCCCCCTCCAACTGCACAGTGGAGTAAAGTTTAACAAAAGGAAATGAGCCTTCAGGAGAGGACAGAACATCCTCCTCCCAGGAGAGCCTGTGCTTTGCATAGCTCTAACCAACTGGCTGCTACAGACTGGAAAGCACATACTGGCAGAATGACAGAGGGGAGGGGTCTGACAATTGTACCAATCCTGTTTTCCACAAGAGTTGCTTCCAAATTGCGATGACCTTAAGTGTGAGGACAAGTCTGCCCTTACTTGTACCCCGCACAACATCACTGACTTGGCTGAATTTGGCACAGGGGTTAGTAAAGTGGAATGGCCAGATTTTCAGCAGGGCTCTTCAGCTGGCAATTCCCATTGTTCTCACTTGGGGAAGGAGTGGTAGATTCTGCCTTGGGGAGGTGCTGGGTGCTGCGTACCTTAAAAAATCTGGCCATTTCTTCTGGATGCCTACAAGGAAGCTGCTGGGAGCCAAGCCCTAGAAGATCTGGCTGGCCCTAACAATTTACCTGATAAATAAAATGAAATGTTTAAAAAAACGCTACTTGCCAGAAGTGGCTGTTTAGTGTACGGGCGGGTCTTTTTCTTCTTTTTCACTTACTGAATCTTTGAGAGTCTTACACTTACATGACTAATATGTTTCTGAAGGATGAACAGCTGAAATCACATGAAGCTAAGCTGAAGCAAATCTCTACCGAGCTAGCTGAGCATCGTTCCTACCCGCCGGACAAGAAACTTAAAGGCAAGGAAGTAGATGACTACAAACTGAAAGACCACTATCTGGAGTTTGAGGTATATATGGGATACAGCACTAAATACATTGGCTAGGCATCTGTCTTGGAGAAAAGCTCTGGAAATTACAGAACTCCTCATAGAACTAAGAAAAGGAATAACAATACTGTAGTATTTACTAAGCCAATAAAGACAGTAATAGTATGCCTGTATTATCAATGGTGCAAACGGGGCTTTTTGTTTTTTGTTACTAGTAAACATCCGCAAGACTGTCCCTACCACATTACCTCTCCTTAACACTTAAGATAAGTCAAAGCTTCGACCTAGGCAAGCAGTCAGTATGTCAAATATGATTAAAACTGTGTAAGTTGGTCATTATACTCTGAGGTTCCCCTGCGCCCGCAGGTACAAATGGCACAAACGTTTGACACAGTTGGAGAGTTTTGACTGCAGTCACCTGTTACCTCATCAGGCAGGAGGGTTTCAAGAGTTTGGAATTCAGTTCCTGCTTCTGACACAGACTTCCTGTGTGACCACGGGCAAGTCACTTAGCCTCTCTGTGCCTCAGTTCCCCATCTGTACAATGAGGAATAATAATGTTTCCTTCTTTCCTCCCTTTGTCTCTTTAGTTTATCAGCCCCCTTGGACAGGCAGAGTGCCTAGTTCAGTGAGGCCCCAATCTTAGTTGGGACCTTTGGATGCTGCTGTAATATAAATAATAGTAATAATCAGTCATTTGTGTATTCTGAAGGAAGCAGAGGAGAAACAGGCATTCTAAACGTAGTACCGTCCACTCAGTGCACATGCACTCACTGCACCATCAAAACTCTGGCACTGTGCACAGGTGACTCACAGGTAAAGCAGAGAGGGAAGAGGATAAAACACAGGTAATGCATATGGTGTTGAAAGTTAGACTGCAGCCATGAGAATCATGCCCCTTTATGTTTCTGGCTTGGGGAGTTTATATTGTCCTCTTTCTGTGCCTGTTTTCCTTAGCAAGTTTTAGCAGTGAAGCGTGGAAAGAAATGGCCATGTGTATCGGTACACCACACATTTAGATAACGGTCACCAGGGCTGTCGCTTCTCCCCGGCTCCAAACCATGCGCGGCCACGCTCGGCTCTTCTAGGAGGTTTATTTTCACCACAGAGGTTGTCAGACAGGCAGAACACAGTCTGAACTCAATCCTCAGTGACAGGCTTTAGGGCCACCCCTCCAAGGGGTCTCTGGCCCTCCAGCTCCTGCAGGCTTCCCAGCCTTGGCCAGCTCTGCTCCCCTCCTGGAGCAGCAGTCGCAGGGCCGCTCCCCTGAGCCCTTTGCTAGCTCCACTCCAGTGTGACTTCCCCTCTGAGGCTCTGCCTGTTACAGCCCTCCCTCTCCAGCTGCCTACTAGCAGCCCTGTATAGGCCCAGGTGTGGTCCAGCCCTCTTTTAATTGGCTGGATTGGGCTCTGGTTCAGGGAGCTGGGTTTAGTCTATCCACAGGGACCAGCTACCCTGGGATAATAACAAATAATGTCCTCTTTCTTAGAGAGAACCTCAAATGAAAATTGAATCCTGCAGAGCAAATAGGTTTGAAGAAAGCTGCCGAAGGTGCCTATGTAAATAGCTCTGAGGTTACACCTACTTTCACCCGGTGGGAGAGAAGGTGTTTTTAACCTGCTAATATGTGAGGCTGGGCTATTTTCACGCTTGTCACAGATTTCACAGAATGCATAAAATTGAAGGTTGGCTGTAGAAAGCGTATGATAGCTGTGAAATACCAGCAATTGAAATTTTCCTCCGGTTTTTCCATCATTTGGAGCAAAGCCTGGAGGAGCAATTGTGATTGAGTGACTGACCTTGCTGAGGTAGGGGCGAGAATGTAGGGGGTGCTCTCAAGCCAAGCCTGCAGATCAGGCCACTGAAAGCAGCAGGAGAAGGGAAAGGAAAACACAGAAACTTAGTGAAAAAAGGCCTGACTCACCCAAAGGAAATGGCACGGTTCCCAAAGGGAGGGAGAAGGCCAGATTTCCCCTTCTCGTAAGCTCTTGTCATTTCTTTTCCTTCAGCTACCTGTGCTTCCTCTGGTCTTGCTCTCTGCAAAAAACAGTACTGCTAACAAAGCAGTTTCTCCCTTCTGCTGTGTACTGAGCCATCTTTGGCTTTGCGTGAGGCAGTGTATGCTCATCAGAGGAGGCGCGGGCTGTGCTGTGTGACTGTCTCACTGAAGACTCTCCTGTAATCCATATGCGCAAGGGGGCAGAGATTAGGTTGTATGGGCATTTTAGACTTTTAAGTATTTTCCTTTGCAACTTTAACATTCTTATTTTCTTGATGAGGCTTCCTAGGGTGGTTTTTTTTAACAAGTCATGTTATTTCCATCAGCTGAGGGTCTGGCCCCATATGGCTTCTCATTGGTGTAAAAGAGAGCAAGTTTACAGTCTAACTTTAAAGAAAGCCTTTATTTGTACATTGCTTAAACTGAGGCTGAGGACAGACAGCAGCAGTGGAAGTCAATGGCAAAACTCCCATCGGCTTAAATTGAGGCAGGAATCCAGCCCAGGGTTTTATTTCTGTTGTTACCATTGGCTTAGGTTTGTGTTTATTTTAATCATTTGAAACACACGGAACGAATGCAGTTCTGCTCATTGATAAATGTGATGATGAGCCAGCCCTTGCAGGAATAACTATTTCCTGCTCTTGCCAACCTGTCCATTCATTATGCAGTGAAGCATGGCACATCCTCAGAATTCTGTTAATTGGTTCCCCTCGTTGGAGTGACAGGCGATAGATACCTCTTTCTTGTCTCTGCAGTGCTGTGCTGGACCTCCCGATATGGAACTGTTCAGGCTGTTTTTTTCCTCATTTCATTTTTAAACAGATTTCTCTTGTGATCATTCTCAGTAAGATTTTGTTTCTCAAAGGACTTTTGGGAAACCTGGTCACGTTCTCCCACCTTCTTCTGTCCTCTTCTAAGCCGTTCCCAACACTTTTTACTATTTTGCATTCAAATAATTATTATTATTGCTTGAATATTATTATTTTATTATAAATGGAGAGAATTCTCTTTAAACATTTGGGCTCAGTCAGGAACATAATAACTTAGAGACTCTTTTATTACTTTGAAAAATGGATTAATAATCAGTAGAAGCATGGGGTCCCCCCCCCCCCCGCTATCCGCTGTGATCACCTTAATTCCCATTCCTACACTGACATTAATGGCTGCTGAGGGATGGATTGCCCCTTTCCCATCACCAGCCATACTGGCTAACTTTGCTAAACCCTTGCAGGCAAATTCTTATTCATGCCTGTTGATTGTTGTGGCATTGTGTGAGGTGCTGTATGGTTGTGACTTACAAAGCAAGAATTGCCCAGTAACCAAGGGAAACACTCGTCCAATTATGGAACAAATTGGTGCCTGATCAGGGAGCAGAGCCCAGTCGACCTCAGGCGATCAGGTTGTGTTTCCCCATCCTGTTTTCCGAACACTGGACTTGCAGAATAGCCTCTTGGAGGCAAAGCGGAGTCGAGCTGCCCTGTAGAAGGCAGATGTTCAGCCCACCCGCCCGTTCTCCATGGGAGAGCCCAGCATAGAGAATCCCTGTGTGATTCTGTGCATGCTGTGTGATCCAGTGTTTTAATATCTAGGGTCACACGGGCTGGGACAGAGGGAGCAGAACCTGCAGTGGCCAGGTTGGTTGTGGCCACAGAAGTTTGGGGAGCTCTGAGGACAGTGGCAAACCTGAGCAGAAGGATTTTCGCAGTCCCTTTGGACCAGTGGTTTTCAGCCTATGGTCCGCAGCCCCCTGGGGGGGTCCACAGACTACATCTAAGATTCCCAAAGGGGTCCGCAACTCCATTCAAAATTATTTTAGGGGTCTGCAAATGAAGAAAGGTTGAAAACCACTGCTTTGGACTGTCGTGTGTACGCATGCTGAGTAATGCCCTGCTGCGTGAGTGTTCCTGTTTTCTTTAATCAGGGCTACTTGTGCAGCAGGGTTTTGCTCTACTTCAGGAAGGTACAGCTCAGCATGCCCTGTATGGCTATTCAGAAACTGCCAACCATCAGTTATGTAAGTCTCCTTGTGCTCTTATTGGCCGAGGGCCATTAGGTACAGAGCAAAGATTTGCATGGTTGAGGAATAAACGTTGGCAATCGTACAGCATCCCTGGGCTCTTGCTGGCTCAGACATTTTCTGTGTGGTGTAATTATTATTAGCCACCATTGTTCACATACATATTAGACTCCTAGATTTCAAGGGGCCAGTCTGATGATCCAGGTGGACCTCCTGCCTATCACAGCCCAGAGAAGTTCATCCAGGCTGATCCATTCCTTTGTTCCTTTTCCAGAAAATCCGCTATGAGATTTATGTTGCCCTACTGAAAGAAGGGGGGAAGGAGCTTCTGAGCAGTGGAGAAAATGATGGGCCAGGACTGAAGAAATCCCATTCGAGTCCCTCGTTAAATCAGGAGTCTCCTGTTAGTGTCAAGGTGAAGCGAAACATCTCCGAGAGGAAGGACTACAGGCCAGAAACACCCAGCATCAAGCAGAAGGTCACTTAGACTGCATGAGACAGCTGTAGAAACAGCCATGCAGCAAAATACCATTGGTCAAAAGTTTCCTTTGCTAACCTGTCATTGACAAAAACAAACCAATGCATCTGCCTGAATGGGGTGGTAATGACATTTTCTATTGTATATTTTGTTGTTTCTGTACAGATTGTGGGAGGTGTCTTGGCTCCTCGTTTGCTTTGCCTTGTTAATTTATCATCTAGCCATTGAAGCACCTCTTTTTTTTTTTTAAAGGGGTGGGAGTGGGACTCTCTGATTTATTGCACATCTCCTCCCCTTCTGTCCTCTCTCATTGGCACGTGACTTTCATCTCAAGTCACCTGTGACCTTTCTCCTTGCAGTGGGAAAAGGAACTGGACAAGCACTGCAGCATAGTAAATGCTAGCTGCAGTGACGAGAAATGAATTGTTGCTGAGATGGAGCTGAGCGCTCCCTGCAGGTTAGTTAAATTCTGACACTGCGACTGGAGATCTCCCAGTGATGTGAAACATACTGGTACTTGTACTATAGTGGTAGGAGCCGGAGGGTACTGGACTGTATTAACTCTGGATCCACACACACCAAGGGACTAAACAGTGAAAATCACCGGGAACGCTGGGCATACGGAATTGGAACAGGTTTTTCAATGTGAAGACTCTTTGGGGGCGCAGGGGGAGGGGGATGCCCAAAGCCATGTCCCTTTTGATGATTGATCCAGCCAGCATGAATTTTATTTTTCTATTTCATTAAGCAATAGGCTGTTGTAGGTGACAACTGCTGCCTGTGTGTTGTAGTAGAAAAGGGAATCCCACATGTTTCTCAACAATACGCTCTCGCGCTGCTGCCATATAGAGTCTTAATATGCATTGTTCATCTGCGGTTTCCCTCCAGAATTTTTATTCCTTTTTAGTAAGCGCAGGTATTCTGCAGTCACTCTGATACCAATGGAGGTGTTCTTCTGTTCTTTTCTGAAAGGAACTCTGTTAAACGATCCCTTGAATTTTTCACAAGTGTTTAGAAAGAATATATTGGAACAGAAGTCCTGGTGACTCAGGGACTTAATGGAATAGAGACTCTTTGGTCTTAGAGCCAGAATCTGACCCCATTCCAGTTGCTCTGTCCCTGGCAGTCACAACGATGCAGCCATAGGGCCAGCAAAACCTGCTCTCTGTGGAGTCTTCCTTTAATAGCAACTCCTGGCTTCTATATAAGGACATGGCCTGGGGAAAAGGGACTTGGCCAGGGTGTCTGTAGACCTCAGCTTTCCCCAGCTGCTGGAGTGGCCCTTTTGGGCTGCGGGTAGCCAGGTGTAACTTAAAGCAGCCCTGAGGGTGCCTTAACTTACACCAAGGGCCAGGATCCAGGGAGCATGAAGATGACTAAGAGACACCTTTGCTTCTTCCCAGGGCCTGCCCATCTTCCCAGGTCCCCCCAGCTCGTCTCGTCTGGGGGATCTAATCCTTAATATGCAAAGACAGCCCAGGTCAATATAAACTGCAGTAGGTGGCCTCGAAGAAACGTCTAGCTATCTCAGGTCTGGTTCTTGCAGGGGCTGGTATTTACATCACGGAGCTCCTCACTACAGAGGGTATACTTGTGGGCAGGCTCAGCAGAGAGGCCAAGGACTGATTGATTGGTCATGGACATCAAACCATTCTGGACTACTAATTTACCAGACTAGCAGGCAGTAGAGGGAGCAATCAAGCAAGATAAGGACCTTGCAGAGAAGCTAAATGATTTCTCTATACCAGCCTCCACCACAAAGAACAACCATGAGATACGTACCCCAGAGCTCTAGACTGCAATACCCATGCTGTGCTGTCAGAGATCGTAGCATTGAAAGAGGAGGTGGTGCACCACGTTGATCATTTAGGATGCAGTAACTCACCAGGACCCGATGGTATTGATTCCAAGAGTTCCAATGTGACTTATGAATGGAGTGACTGAGCTGCTCACAAACATTTGTAATCTGCCGTCGTCCTAGAAATCTAGAGGATAGCCAGTGCCTGACCTGATTTTAAAAATGACACTGGGAGTGACTGCAATTCACAGAGCTGTGAGGCGGGCCGGTCAACATTTTCCAGCATTTGGATTTATTTTTTAAAAATTACGTTATGCTTAAAGTTAAGCACATTGTCTAAGTGCTGCCCCGAAGAGAAACTTTCCTGAATTAGGGCCAAAGTTACGTGCTTGAGCAACATGCTGGGAAGTGTCATTCCCTGTAGACGAGAGCAAGGGTAATACACATTGGAAGAAATTATTTGAACTACTCGTTGAGGGGTAGTAGATTAGCCACTCAGGAGAAAGGCCTAGGCGCCCTGCAGCTGTTCATTGTACAGCAGTAGTTTAAAAAAAAAAGGGCAGTAAACGAGAGGTTGAGTTATACCGAGAGAGAGAGAGCACTAATACTCGGACTGCTAAATGCTGTTACATAGGGAGATGATCTTGAGTCCTGCAACCATTTCACATCACTTCCTCACAGTAACAGTACAGCAGAAACAGAAATGGTCCAGAGAAGTCACAATTTGATCCCTGCTCCACTCCCAGGGCAGTGCAGCTCTACTCTGGCCCTTACTCAAGGCATCCAGGTACTTGTTGTGTTTGCCTTTTAAACCACCGCACTCTATTTGTAAAGAGGTGACAATTGCAAATGTTTGCGTTGGCTTTTAAGATAGTCTGGCTGTCCATGGGTTGTGTTTGAATTGTTGATCTCTCCGTCACAAGCGGAAATTCTCCCATACAGTATCTTTCTCAATCTACGCAGAAACAGGATAATTCATGCTCACGACTAGGGAACTCCTTGCAGATGAGTGAATTTCATGCAGTTTGAAAAGTCAGACACAGTGAATCACAAAATGCATTTTATTTATTTTGTCAAATGCAGTTTAGTTTTAATTATTTATTACGCTGCTCCAGAGCGTGTTTGTGCATGGATTGTGGTATATTTTGTAAAACGTGTCCAGTCTTAGTAAAATGCAATTTCACTTCAGCTTTCAGCTGTTCAATACGCCCTGAGCTCCACCTGCATTTTGTGAGAGTTCTGAGGTGTGCAGATCAGTGATCTGAGAATTGGTGAGGTTTTAGTGTCATTTGAAATTCCCGCTGCTGGCTGTGTCTCTTTACAGCTGACCTGTGTCGCCGTGTCTTTTGATAGGCTTTACTGAAACAAGTAAAGAGAAAACACAAAGGCAGATCCTGCTGCCATTGAAGTAAGTGGCAAAACTCCACAGACCTCACTGAGCAGGATCAGAGTGCTGACCAGTATTGCAGTTTGGTGTGCTTTTAACATTACAGCATAGCAAAGAGGTTGGGCTAGGTTCTCAGAAGGTGTAAATCAGCACTGAAGAGACTGGAGCTATGCCATTTGACCCCTGACACACACAATCCCATCCCCCGAGAATCTAGCTTGTTATGTGTTGCACATTATTTTCAAAGTACCTTGCTTTCCAGCTCCTGGATATTTGCTTTTAGCAGAGAAGATAAATGTGTGATTATACTGTATAGGTGCCCAAGTCCTTCACTGCTGTCAAGAAACATTGCAGCTGAAGAGGTACAAGATTGCAAAGGTCACTTTTTAAAGCCACTTCTGTGTTTCTTTTGTCTTGGGCCCACTGTGTGCCAGGCTGGTCTTCTGGTGCAAGTTAGAGCAGCCTAAAGGCTGCTGTAAATTGCACCAGCTGCCCAGTAATTTCAAGGGAAAATATGGCAGCCAGGAATCACCGGGTAGTGAGAACCTCCAGCCACACAACCTGTTCCCAGCCATTCCCCCAGTGCTGGCCACAGGGAGGGGACAGGGCACAGGAGCCAGTGTTCTGCTTCCAGCTATATCACCGGAGGATTTCTCCACAGTGAGGTGATTGTGACGTCCGTGATCGGTTACCCTGGCTTCAGGGCACTGGCCCAGTGCAGGTCTAGATTGGATTTGAACAGGAGGTCCCTTTCTGATAACAAGCAGCTCAGAATAGCTGAGGATGTCAGCATCCATGCAGGATGCTTTGGATTGTCACTCTGTAGTCAGAACTCTCATGATTAACCCTTTGCACTCACCTCCAAGGAGCTACACTGACCTGGACAGAGAGGTGCCGTGCTGTGCTCTTAGGGTTTGCTCTTGCTCACTCGAAGGGCAGTGTGCAGGGGACTCCCAAATCCTGGGTGTTTCAGCATGTGCAGTACCTCTTGCCCAATGAGGCCTCCACCTCCCTTGCTTTCATGTAGACTTTCCCCAGGCTTTTCTCCTGCAGATTCTAATCCTGATGCCATATCTCAGGCCAGTCTCCGACTGAAGGCATTGGGATTGCTGCGTGAGAGTGTTGGGATTGGGCCCGTGGCAGGGCTGGCTAGCTCTGCAACATTACAGCTCATGGGGTGCGCTCCAGGGGCTAGAGTAGCCATTCTAAACTGGTGGGGGAGGGGGAGGCACCTGCTGGGTCCTGTCTGCCAGTGGACAGCTGCAATAATCCCATGGTCATTAGGCCCCAGCAGGAGCCTGGGTCTCTCCCTCCTGCTGAGGCTCCTTCTCCTTCTCTTCCTCTATCTATCCATCCAACCTGAGAACAGCTCTTCCCCACCCGTCCCACACAGAGACCACGGGCTGGGCTCCAGGGAAGGGGAGCTGCTCCACAGCCCCTTGGAGCAGAACTTCCCACCTTCCAGCATTGGTGGTGTGGGGGAATGGGGGAGCAAGGACAGAGAAGCAAAACCAGCACCTGCCCTCGGCCCCCTCCCCAAGACCACAAGCTGCTAAACACACACACACACACCCCTTTTCTAACACACACACACACCCCTTTTCTAACCCACAACCACCCAAACGGGCAAAATATCCCAGAACCCGAATCCCATAATCCTTTGCAAATGGAAAGGATTCTGGGGTTTGGTGCATGGGATGAGTCTGTAGGTCATGGCTGAGAGTTGCTGGGCTGGCGCGCACGTGTGTGTGTGTGTGTGTGTGTGTAAATTAAAAAAAATCTGGAGCGTGGCCAATCTCCACCCAGGCCTGCAGCCTTTTAGACCAGCTTGTACATTGTTAGCTCAGTTGTTGTCAGTAGGTGGGTAACTCAGTCAGCTGAGGAATAATGTAGTTGAGCTGTTGGGACTATGGTTTCATTGAAACTTAGATTCAAACTATTTCTCAGATTCTTGATAGTTTGGAAATTGTTAAAAGAATTTTCCCAGGGCCCAGTGTTTCCTCCTCCTTTGAGGAGTGTCCCTGGGAATGCTCCATGTGAGGGGTGCATGCCCCCCGGACGCCTGAGATTGGAGATTTTTGGCAGCAGTGCTTATATGGTCCACACATGCACCCTCGCTATCCTCATGTCCCGTGCCGAGGATAATATGGGGTTGCGACAGACGAGCCACCCTCAGTTCTTTCTCGACCACCTGGCCAGAGCGGAGTGTTCATAGTGCTAGCCGTTATGGGCTTTTCACTTCATGCCTTGTGGAAGACCTCCTGTTTGTTGGGTGCGGTGCATTCAGGCTCAAGATCACGGAGACACTCTAGAGAGTAAAAGACACGAAGGCCATTGCTAAGCCTCTGGGATGTTGCACAGGCATGTTAGGCTCACAAGGGGGAGAAGTTTTTCTCTCTAGTGGAGCAGAGACTCTGTTCACATTCTGCAGCCCCATAATCTGCTTTGGACTTTTTACCATAGTTAACCACTCTTGGTTTCTCCTTGTCTCCTATCATGGTGCACTTGTCTGCCACCTCAGTGCATCGCCTGCCAGTGGATGGTTCTGCTGGTCTCTCTCCTTTCATGGTGAGGCCCCAGGCTGGTGCTGGCAAGGTTGATGAACTCCCCCATTTGAGCCCTTGGTGGTGTGCTCATTCTGTCTGCAATGAAAGGCTGCATTTTCAATCATAATTACATCTGGGAGGAGAGTGACTGAGTCCCGGATTCCTGGGGCTCTTCCTCCTTTCCCTGTATTCCACACGGACACAGCTGTCCTGCAGCCTCATTCCAGAGTTAGAGCGAAGAAGGTGTTTTCCCTGAAAGACACTTAATATCCCATGTTCTCTTCCCAAAGCCTCACTCTTACCCAGGGGCACATGCAGCCCATGCTGTCAAGAGGGCTTGGAGATTTTATTTTGTTAGGCAGTTAGGAAGCAGAGAGGCATTTTGTGACTTTTGGGGATCAGTGTGAATGGGATGCCATTTCCACTCAGTACCTGTCTAAGTAGATATACCTGTGCCTTGAGACATATTAGCTAGGCTATCCGAACATGAGCTTTTGGGGCTGTTTTTCTGAGCATTGATGACTTGCTTAGCAGTATTTCATTCAGAGAAGTCTACCGGGCTGCTGCCTGCATAAACATTCACCCAGTGCTGCTTTCTCAGCTTGGCATCTACATCTCAGGCTTGCTCTTGGTAGGGCAGTTCTGAAGCCCGTGTGTAACTCTCTGAGGTCTGTATGGAACGTGTCCTGGGCTCAACTAGAATTCTTCAGCCCACACTCCTGGACTTGTTCAGCTCTTGACGACCCCAAATGGGACTATGAAGAGGCCTAGAGAAGAAAGGAGCTATTTCCATGGTTACTCGTAGCTCATGATGAGCATTGCTTCTGCCTATTCACACTCCCTGCCTACCTTCCCTTTTGCCTTGGAGTTCTTGGGGTGTTTGAAAAGACACTCAAGAAACCAAAGCTGCTGTTACTATGCAAAATAGCCATTTATGGCCTAGTGGAAAGGGCACTGGATTGAGACTCGGGAGACCTGGAGTCCATCCGTAGCTCTCCTACTGACCTGCTGAGTGACTTTGGGCAAGTCACTTCACTACTCGGTGCCTCTGTTTCCCCATATGTAAAACAGGGATAATGATACTGTCCCCCTTTGTAAAGTGCTTTGAGATCTACAGGTGGAAAGAGCTGTTTAAGAGCTAGGTTTTATAATTCCCTGACACTTTTTTCTTTTCCCAACACAATACAATGCTTCTTATTCAATACTGTGAGTTAATAAGAGCAAGGAAAAATGTGGTATAGGGAAACCTGGCTTAATGCAGGCGAATGATTCTGACGCCGATTGCAAATGACTGAATGTTGCTCATTAGCATGGGAACAAATAATGCAATATGTAAGGCTCACGCACCGTAAAATGTAACTTGTTCATTTCTCTTGTTGACAGCACTGAGGTTTAGCTTTGATTATTTATTATAACACTCCATAGATTAGTAGGAGAAGTGGGTTGGAGCTTTCTAAAGTGCTCAACATTGTCCTTTCTCTGCTCCCACTGTCTATGGGAGCCGGAACAGGCCAACACAGAGTGGTTGGGAAAATCCCACCTGTAAAGTCAGTATATTTTGTAAAAATAGTGAATTCTTAATAATCACACACACCCCATGGCACCTGCTATTCCATGTCTGCTGAGAGCTGGGTAGATAGAGAACAACGTTTTATTTGTACGGTGTATAAAGCATGGGACTTAGCACTGTGAGGATTAATGATGTTTTAAGGGTGTAATAAAAAGATGAAAAAAAGGGCAGCATTTTTGTCTTGCTCAATCCATTGTTAATTAGTAGTAGCTCTCTGGAGAAACACCAGTTTTACTGATAACATAAGGGAGCTCCGAACCAAGCCTTTTATTGGGCAAATTTCAAAAAAGTAGGCAAGATTCTCAGTTCTGCAATGGGCCAAATGAATCCCTGGTGTAACTCCACAGCATTCAGCCAAATTACAGCAGAGATTCATTTGACTCAGTGCCTTCATCTGATCTGATAACACCACCTGCTGAGAAAAGGGTGATTCTTGAAATCCAGCCTGAATCACTTTAAAAATTAGGAGAGACTTTCAAAAGGGCCTAAATACAAAGCCCCCTTGACTTTCAGTACTAAATCACTTACACACGTTTGAAAATTCCACCCAGAGTCCAATAAACTTCCAAAAATCTATAGGCTGGAAATGCGACCAGTTTGTATTTGTGTGTGTTTTATTGTAGTTAGAACTTCTCACATAGGGTGGTCTGATAGCACTGTGTAACTTGACTAAATCCAGTGGCATGGATACAGAACAAGAATTTCTTGGCAGCTTTAAAGTTCGGAGATTACTGCTCATCTCACGAAGTTAAAGTGAGCATCCAGTACCTGTTGAGTGTGTTTAAGCAGTGAGCGTGTGTGAATGTGGGTGTGGTTCTTATGCAATGTATGGCTTCTGTGATCAAACTCCGCAAAGGTTATTCTTTTCCGATGCTTCGGTTTTGTCCAGACAGTGTAATGGCTATAAACAGCAGGCGTGGGTTGTTTCAGCCAGTTGAACGGTTGTTAAAAGCTTTTGTAGGTTTAGCGTTTTTCTCAATCCAGCCTTGCCGTGGCATGTTCTGCAGAATCATAGAATCATAGAATATCAGGGTTGGAAGGGACCTCAGGAGGTCATCTAGTCCAACCCCCTGCTCAAAGCAGGACCAATCCCCAATTAAATCATCCCAGCCAGGGCTTTGTCAAGCCTGACCTTAAAAACTTCTAAGGAAGGAGGTTCTACCACCTCCCTAGGTAACGCATTCCAGTGTTTCACCACCCTCCTAGTGAAAAAGTTTTTCCTAATATCCAACCTAAACCTCCCCCACTGCAAGCTGTTGGGTGCTCAGGAAATTTGAAAAAAAAGTAATTTCTTTAGGAGCATAGAGATCAGTTGTGGGGTGGGAGTTGAAAAAGCTCTCGACATTGGGCTAACTCTGCTCTTGTTGTTGTCATCCACTGCCTTAAAAGGGAGCAAAGTTAGGCCATCACTGAGCACTTTTGCAAATACCTACCTATGAGCCTAATTTAAGGCTCCCATTGTTTAAAGAAATCTTGGCCAAGTTCTGTGAATAATCCACATGGGGTAACATTTTCAAAAATGCCTTAGTCACTTGGCTGCCTAAATGTCATTAGACTTCTAGGTCACTTAGGCCCTTTTGAAAATGTTACCAGGCTGTCGTGGTTTTGCAAGAGTGGTGGGGATTTACTGTAACAATTGCAGAGATATGTGTAAGAATCCATGTGGTTGATAAGTTACAAAGAGTGGCAGGGGGAAGTGTCAGCTGTGAGCATTTCAAGTGGTGCCCTCAGGTTTCCTTTGGAAAGTGTGAAACAGTCGAGGGATTTTTAGCCCAAATAAATATGTAATAAAATCCATTGGGTTTGCAGAATGATATCAGAGTCAGTGTTGCAGTTTGTATGATGTTGGAACGACCTGGATTAAACCAGTAGAGGAGGAATGGAGATTTAGGGCTAGATTCTGCCCTGAATGGCAAAGCACTTAAGCATGAACTTAACTTTAAGCACATGAGCAGCTTCAGTGAAGTCAGGCCTAAGTGCTTTGCTGGATCAGGGCCAGAGAGCTTGCATCTTACAGGACTGAAAACTTAGTGGAGTAGACTCCAACTGAGGATGAAATGACAAGGGTAAATCCCATCAACTTTGGTCGGGCCAGCCAGGATCCTGGGCTCCCTGTATCAGGGATCTGAGATGTTTCTTTGGCGTCCACCCTGTGTGGGATAATGTAGTGAAATGGGGTGGCTCAGCAGTCTCCTGCAGCCTTTAAAGAGTCCTCATTGACCCACTGTGACCACACGGTTATGGCTGAGACATTGCAGTGATTTCTCTTCCCTTAGACCAGGAAATCAGTGTTGAACTCTCAGTCATCAGTCACTGTGGGGGGCTTGTGTGGAAATGTTCGCTTTTAATGGTAGCCTTCTGCCCCAGCACTTCAGAGAACACTCCACACAGAAACATGCACCTCCGCAGCTAAGCTATCACCTTGATTTAGATCAAAGCTTATTGGAATAATGCTCTACAGTGTTCAGGAACAGGCAGGACAGGGCCAGAGAGAGCCCCTGGGTGGGGCCCAGCAGTAAACCCTGCTGTTTACGTTGTCTCTGGATACTGCTCTGTGCTCTTTGCTAGTATAGGATCTTTATAATCCCTTTATAATCTCACTTGTTTTCCTTTTACTATTGAGACGCCAGTGGATTTGTTTACATGGCAGGCAGTTTAGTCCATCGTCACTGCTCTCTGGAGAGCCACTCTGTCTGTAATGGAGCAGTGCTGAGGTTCTCTCCAGCCCTTCTCCACGGGAATAAATCCTGCTGCTCTGACCCTTGGGGCAGGCCCTATTTAAGGTCTATGCTGGCTCTCCCCACCAAGGGTAAATTTCTCTATATAGAGGCCCTATTTCACATCTGTGGTCAAAGAGCCAGAGGTATGCAGACCTGATTGAGGCCCCAAATCATGAAAGCATTTCAGCAAGTGCTTAAGCGCCACCGATGTACGTGGGACTTAATCACGTGCTTTCCCGACTAGAGCTGCTGTCCTGAATCAGGGCCTTTGCTGTTTTCTAACGGTACCATAGGATGCCCTTGGATTTCCTATTCTAGTCTATGTGACAGGTACTAGAATGATAATTCCTCGTAAATGAAGGCACTTATAGACTGTCCTGTCTCCCTGGGGAAAGGACTCGTGGCTATTGTTATATCGTTTAAATAATATTTTGAAATGAAGTTTACATTGCTTTGTTTTTCCTCTGAGGTGACTGTATATAAATATTTCCCTCTCTTTGAGCATAGCTGGAGTAAGCAGACAAATAATTTGCCTCTGATGTATTGAAACTGTGAGATCTAGTTCTCTCTTGTGTACACGTTCACGATTATAACTCTTGTTCCTCTGTGTTTTATAAGGCGGGATAATGTTGCTTCAGGGTAACTACAAGTCTGCAGCCTTCTGAATGATTTTTGTGTGATTGAAATCGAGCAAAGCAGTGAAGGATTTCACACATGTATATGATATATGTATATGTACAAACTTTAGAAAGAAATAAACCAAATGTATTTCATTTGCTGGATTTGAGTGCACCTTCATTTAAGCTGTTGCTCTTTAATATTTGTATTACACCAGAACTTACAGGTCTCAACTGGGTCAGAGCCCCATTGTGGTAGGTGCTATACAGACGCAAAGCATATGACCATCCTTGCCCCAAAGGTCTCACGATCTAAACTGAATGCTGTAGCAGGTGGATGAGACAACAAGGGGTCTGGAGTGGAGCAAGATGCCCACAGTTCTTAGCCAGCTGGCAGCAGTAACCACAGTATTCACAACTCACCACCTTGCCTCTCGCTGATCAGTGGCATTGTTCCAGATGTACGGCTGCAAAGGTGAAGTTTGAGAGGTGACTTGAAGGAGAATACGACGGTAGCTTTACAGACTGGCCCTGGGTGCTTTTCCCAGGCATGAGGGGTGGCCTGGAAGAAGTGTGCAATCAAGGCTCGTGTCATTCGCTCAGCAGAAAGGAGTGGTTTCAGAATCGCCTGGTCATTTTCTCTCTCAAAACACATTCTAACGTCCAAAGTCATGTGCAGCCACTGGCTGGGCTCGTAATCCCCGTCTACCTCATCCTTGTGAAGTGACAGCTATAGTAAATTGCTCTGCTGCTGGTTACACGTGCCTGCTGCTGCAGCTGTTGGGCAGAATTGAGGGCATGGGCAGGGAGGGTAGGAGGAAAGGGGGCAAACACAGAGGCCAGAGGGGGTAAGAAACTGGGAGGGGTATGGGCTGAGGTCTGGGAACACCAGAACCACATGGAGGGGGGCTGGCATTGTGCTCCCAGGTTGTGGAATGGGTGAACCTCTTAGGGAAGAAAGAGGGGGAGGTCACATGGAGTGGGGGAGGAGAGTGGTGGGGCATGCAGGAGGTATACAAGGAGGACATAAGGGGCACAGAGTATGCAGGGGGCCAGAACGGGTGCGGGAGGCATGGAGGACTCCTTAAATTAGGGGTGTGAAATGTGCAGAGGCAATAATAGCAAACATGCATGCCCTTTTTAAAAAATCACACCACACACCACTGTACTAGGAAGATTTTTCTGCATCTTTGTCCATGTTGAGGTTTTTGTCTGCGGGAATTCCCTCAAGTTAGAGATGAGGCACTTGTAGTTAGACAAGTAAGACCAGTCTTATTCAGTATTTGTATTAATGACCTTGCACAAAAATAGGAGTATACTAATGAAATGTGCTGATGATACAAAGTCGGGAGGCATTGTCAATACAGAGCAGGATTGGACTATCATACCAAAATATCTGGATAACCGTGAAGACTACAGTGACAGAAACAGCATGAAATTTAATAATACAAACTGCAAGGTCATGCACTTAGGGTCCAATAATAAGAATTTCTGCTGCAAGCGGGGGGCTTATCCGCTGGAAGCAACAGGGGAGGAGAGAGACCTGGGTGTGTGGGTATGAGCCACCAAGGTAATGCAGTTGTGGAAAAGGGAAATGCAATCTTAGGATGTATTAGGTGAGGTATTTCCAGTAGAGATAGGGAAGTATTAAAGCCATTGTCCAAGGCATTGGTAAAACCTCATCTGGAATCTGTGTACAGTTCTGGTCACCCATGTTAACGATTAATTTAAACTGGAACAGGTGCAGAGAAGAACTACTCGGATGATCAGAGGAACAGAAGGCCTATTTTATGAGACGAGAAGAGCTTGGCTTGTTTAGTCTAGCAAAAAGAAGGGGATCTGATTACCTTCCTAATTTATTTATAGAGAGCAAATTCCCAGGAGCATGAAGAGCTGTTTAAGCTAAAGGACAATGCTGGTACAAGAACAAACAGATGACCTGGCCGTGAACAAATTCAGGTTGGAAATAAGGAGAAGGTTTCTAACCATCATAGGGGTGAGGTTCTGGAACAGCCTCTATGATGGGTTCGGTCACAGAGACCCCCTTGGGACTGTCACCTGATGTGCTGAAATTACCTGAGCCCCTTTTCTCTGCCAGTTTGGGCCTCCAGAACCCTGCCTTGTTGAGCCAGACATGCCAGCCTGCTCCAACACAGAGCAGGGTCTGACCCACATGCCCCAAATCTGCAGACTTAACTGAAAACAGCTTAAGAAGTGTTCCTGTCTCCAGCGCCCAGTATTCAGTCTTTCTGGGAGCCTAAACCCCAAATAAATCCGTTTTACTCTGTATAAAGCGTATACAGGGTAAACTCATAAATTGTCCACTCTCTATAACACTGATAGAGAGAGATGCACAGCTGTTTGCTCCCCCAGGTATCAATTACTTACTCTAGGTCAATTAATAAGAAAAAGTGATTTTATTAAGTATAAAAAGTAGGATTTAAGTGGTTCCAAGTAATAACAGACAGAAAAAAGTAAGTTACTAAACAAAATAAAACAAAATGTGCAAGTTTAAGCCTAATACAATAGGAAACTGAATATAGGTAAATCTCAGCCTGAGAGGTGTCCCAATAAGCTAGTCTGGGTCCAGCAATCATTCACACCCCCATAGTTACTGTCCTTTGTTCAAGTTTCTTTCAGGCATCTCTTGGGGGTGGAGAGGCCATCTCTTGAGCCAGCTGAAGACAAAATGGAGAAGTTTCCTGGGCCTCTTATATTCTTTCTCTTGTGGGTAGAAACACCTTTGTTCTGTGAAAAATCAAGCAACAAGATGGAGTTTGTAGCTACTTGGGCAAGTCACATGTCCATGAATGATTCAGCTTTTTGCAGGCCGATGCCATTGCTTACATGTTAGTTTGAACATTCCCAGGAAAGCTCAGATGTGGATTGACGTCTCCCAAAGTCCATTGTCAGTTAAGTGTTTCTTGATTGGGTACTTACTGAGAATAGTCCTTTCTCAAGGAGCTGACCAAATGCTTCACTGAGGCTACTTAGAATCAAACACATTGAGATACAAGTACATAGCCAATATTCATAACTTCAAATACAAAAATGATACACACATACAGACAGCATAATCATAACCAGCAGACTGCAACCTTTCATAGACACCCCACTTGATCTCCTCTGTACAAGACCTGGTGCAACCATAGGACCCTGGTTGCAACAATGATCTATATGGTCACAGTTCACGTCAATAACGTCACAGCCTCCCAATAGAAGTTGTGGGTGCAAACAACTTAATTAGTTGTAAGAGAGAGCTGGGCAAATTTATGAGTGCAATTGCGTGATGAGGTTGCTTGTGATGGTAGGAGGCAGGGCTCAGCAGGCCTGGGGCTCACTTACAGTTTGTCTCTGATGTTCCTAAAGCTCATGTTTCAGGGTTTCAGCCTGCCACTAGCAGGGATCAGGAAGGGATTTTCCCCCTGCAGTGTATTCTGGGAGAGGGTTTTTATGTCCTTCCTCTGAAACATCAGGGATGTCCACAACTGGAGATGAGATGTGGGGGAGGGCAGGGTGGGCCTCTGAGGTGGCACCGAGCATTCTCTCAGGTGCTTGGCTGGCTGGTTCTTGCTCACATGCCCAGGGGCTAAGCATCCTATGTGGGGTTGGGAAGAAATTTTCCCCCAGGTCAGGCTGGCAGTGACCTGGGTGGGCGGGGTTTGCTTTCCTCTGCAGCGTGTGGATGTGGGTCACTTACCAGGGTTATCTGGGTATATCTCACTTGATCATTTCCCTGCCATTGTGGGGGCCTTAGGCACTGGTGCACCTCAGTCCGTCCTATTCCCTGCCTGCGGCTGCCTTCCTCTAGTCTCCTTTGGGCTGTACTAGTTTGATCTCATTTTGATTGTTGGGTTTAGTGTGTTGGTGCTGGGTGGTATTGGTCTGACATACAGGAGATCAGACCAGAGGATCTAGTGCCCCTCCAGGCCTTAAAGTCTACGACTCTGTAAGTATTACAGTTCAAATGGATGTTCACATTCTTAGGATCATCGTTAGTGCTCGGAATTGAGGACTGTTGCACTCTGCTACGATATTCCCAATTCCCATTCAGGGAGGAGCTGATGACTTGAAAATAAGCAGATTGTTAATTCTAGCACATGGTATGTTGATTTATTCTAGTATAAAGGACCAAATATGGTGTGTATGCGGAAGCCCATAGAGAAAATCTATTAAGTGTCTCACATGAGCACAAGTTAATTTAACTATGCCTGAAAATATTCTCCTCACTTATGAACGTTACTCTCAGGGCTATTCACAACTCCTTTCATTTTGTTTTTCCTGCTGACGCAGGCTACTCTGATAAGCATTTTCTGTCCGTAATCAAAATACATGTTCACAATGCTTTAAACTATAACGAAATGTCAAAACAGCAGCTTCCACCTGCAAACTGGAAAACCGACGCATTTACATTCACTGGCATTGTCCTGAGACACACCACAGTAGGAGATGCTGGAAAGGGTTCGGTTGTGGATGCAGGTGGAAACCCAAAGGCCACTGCTGCATTGGGGCCCCAGTTGCTCCAGATCTGCTCAGCCCATATATAAAGAATCCAGTGAGGGGGTGGTGATTTAAACAGGAGGTGATCATATGCCTGCAGCTAAATCCATGCTATTATTATGTGTATTGTGCTTTAGCACCCAGGAGTTGTAGTTATGGACCATGTGACAGGGTGCTGGGCAAGGGGTTGCTGATTCAGCCCTCTGTCATGCCAGCACCCATTTAGGGGGATAGATTAGAGCTGGCTGGAGATTGCCTCCCCAGTTAGGGCCAGGTTGAGACAGCTGCTGCATAATTAGCCTGGGGGGGTATAAAAGCCTCAGGGCAAAGAAGCTAGGGGAAGAGCAGAAAGAAAAGGAAAAGTCAGGGAGTGGAAGCAGGGAGGTAGCTCTTCCGTCCCTCCCTCCCTGCAGATGGTGAAGGGCCAACTGTGCATGGTGAGACGGCAATGAGAACAAGTCTGTGAATAAACTGCACCAGTGGATACTAACCCCAGGGTCTCAGAATGACTTTGTGGACTTAGTAGAGGCAGGAGCTATGGGGGCTCTGCCATGCTCTGCTACAGACCAGGACTCCATTGTGCTAGGTGCTGTACAAACACAGGACAAAAAGATGGTCCATGCCCTAAAGAGCTTAAATCTCTAATGAAATAAGGTTAGTAACCACACAGAGGTACACAGGCCAACCTGGCATGGTGCTGTGTAATATTATGTTCTCATCTAGCAACTCAAAGGTGGAAACAGCAGTTTGAGGTACTATAAAGTATAAATGCAGGATGGCTGCTGCTAAGATTCACTGTCATTGTCATGTTTCAGAGGAACAGCCGTGTTAGTCTGTATTCGCAAAAAGAAAAGGAGTACTTGTGGCACCTTAGAGACTAACCAATTTATTTGAGCATGAGCTTTCGTGAGCTACAGCTCACTTCATCAGATGTCATTTTGTCATTGTCATGTTTCCTTGCAGTTATCGCATGAGTTACTCCTGACCTCATTTTGGACCTGATCCAAAGCACACTGCAGTTAATGGAGAGACTCCCATTGACTTTAATGGGCTTTGGTTCAGGTTCTTAACTGGTCATAAGACAAACTCCTTTTTGTGATGACCTCCAAAGCAGCCTATCTCCTTAGCACCGTAATCATTGTTATTGCTGCTTTGCATGGGGAGACCGGCTCAACAGCAAGATAACTTCCATCCCTCTCCAGAGAAACTTAAGCAACAATAAGGTTAATGATGACCAGTAATGGAACATGCCTCAGGCCAACCACTAAAGGAGAATGTACCCATGTGCAGAGCTAGAAACCACTGATCACGGGCTATAATAAAGGGATGAGTTTAGAGAATGCAAAAATAACAGGAAAGAAGACACTCTAGAAAAACAAGTATTGTGGAATTAGAATGCCAGGGGTAGTATTTTACAACGCACATGTGCAAAAGTGCTTGTGTATGCCCCTCACTAAGGGACAAAAATACCCAAACTGTTACATGCAAGCTGGGGTCTGCAAACGCATGTACCTATTCATGTGCATCCACCAGCTTGAATGCACATAGGGTATTTGGGCAACTAGGTCAGGCAGGGGGAAAAATGCATGAGTACTTCAGCATACATGGATTTGAAAATGCAACCCTTCAGAGGATGTGTTGAAATCCACTGGTATAGAAAGCTGGGGGATTCTAAAAGAAATCAGAAATATGGCTCAACATACTAGATTTCCTCTGCAAAAAAGACTGCAAGGAACAAGACTCATTCCAATGTGAGTGCAATGAGGCTGGAGGAGAAGAAACACAACATGGCCATACTGTAAATGACAAGCATGGGAGACAAGTTACACAGTCAGTGAAGACTTGGAAAAAAACAGAATTAGTTAATGCTAGCCCAGGGGGAATCAGAAAGGCTTTTCGTAGGGGCGGGGGGCAGCAGCCAGCCTTGTCTGAAAGTTGCCTAGTGCTTTCTATTGTAAAAATTCTTCTGACCACATTTTGAAGATCTCAGATGCCTCCATGTTTTGCTGCAGAGCTTTGAAAATTGGCAGGCAGACCTGAGGTCAGGGAGGTGCCTTTTGTTGGCCATTCAGATTGAACCAAGTTAAGAGCAGTCCATTTTTCCCCTTATTTGTGTTGTGTTGTCTGGAAGAGTGAACTACCTGGAGCTGAGCATTGTCACCGTAACATGGAGCAGTTTGTTCGGAAGGAAGTCTGTACAGTCCAAAGGGCTACAGATATCATTGAAAAAAACCTAAATCTCCATGTCTGAAGAAAATGTCATTCCCAGAAAACATCTTTTCAATCTCCCCCTGATGCTCAGAACTGCTGTACTAGCAGCATTCATCCCCCTTGTCCTCTGATGTTTTTCATGTTCGGTCTCCGCTGGAAGCTGAATATTTTTAGAACGATTGAACAAATTCCACTGTTCAGAGGTTCGGCAAAGGTGCAAAGACCACCCGTGTGCCTTTTACAACAATTCTAACAACGCTTTGTCAGAGAAAGCACAGCAAAGGCAGCTGACAGCTGTAACTGGAGACTCGGTGTAGATACAGCCCTTGGGGGAGATGAGCGCCTCTGCAGTGAGAAGCATTGGTTTTGGTTTAGGTAAGTTAGGAGAGTAGGAAAGCTGCTGTCTGAGCACGTGTAGAGAATATCGCTGTCAATCTGATAAGCGTGCAGATCACAAGCTACATGCTGAGTATGGCTCCTGGAATGGATTCCCCTTGTGTCTCATCTCAACGGCTGATCGCTGTTGGGCATCTTGGGACTGTACTGCCCTGATGCTGGGTAGATGGGGCCAGCTCCATCAGGTCTAGCTACTGCTCTCCCTCAGCCGCTTCCAAATGGATTTTCATGAAGTGAGGGAGGAGTGTTGCAGGGGCACTGCCAGAGAGGAGGGCTTGGGCTAACTCATTAGCTCGGGCAGGGGGTTGGACTGTTCCCTGGAGGCTTGAACTTTGAAACTGGCTGATAGGAGGAAGGGTGAAGAAGTGAATACCAGTTACCACAGCAATGCCCACGTCACGTTTCTCGGGCAACTGAGATCCCTGAGGTGTGGGCGGCAGTTAGCGATTGTAATTGTTTCTGAAAAACAAAAAATGCTCTTTCTCTTGAGCTACCGTTTGCAACGACACTTAAGACAAACTGGCAGAGTCCAATTCCGGCTGGCAGGAAGCCGGGTGCTGTGGCAGGCTGATTAGGCTGTGTGGGCACAAAGAGGCTTGGGACTGAAATGCAGGTAGAGTGAAATCGCTTGGGGGCTGGTTTTCTTTGCTGCTTTTCTATAATTTCTCTTTAGACTGAGTGGAATGAGGCCCCTGGTTGGGTCAACTGTGGGGACTGAACCTGCGACCTGTGGATTTAAACTCAGGAGTGGCTACTGCTTGAACTAAATGACCCAGTGCTGGGGGGAAGCGGGGGGGCTATAAGACAGCTGCTTGTTAGTCAGTCTGCCCTTGGAAGCATACAGAGACAAGGTGGGTGAGGTAATATCTTTTACTGGCCAACTTCAGTTGGCGAGAGAGACAAGCTTTTGAGCCACAAAGAGCTCTTCTGCGGGGCTGGGAAAGGCACTCGGAGTGGCACAGCTAAATAAAGGTGGAACAGATTGTTTAGCATCAGTAGTTAACACACATTTCAAAGGGACCGTTCAAGGTGAAGTGGCCCATTAACCCCTCTCCAGTCATATTTCAGTCAAATACCCCCTGACAAATTGCCCTAGAGAACCTGCTTTGGTACAGAAATGCCCCCTGCCCCCCACCAATCGCACACCCCTAGTTGTCCCCACATCGGAACCCGTATGGGGTATCATCAAACAACTACAACCCATAGTCGATCGGGACCCCATCCTGAAAGAAATATTTCCTGAACCCCCTCTTCTGGCCTGCAAACAATCGCCCAACCTCTCCAAGCTCATCATCAGAAGCAAGCTCCCCACAGATCAGGACACACCAACTCAAAGAGGCACCAGACCTTGCCAGAAACAACAGATGCAAAACCTGGAGACAGATTTCCACTGCTACAACTATCAACACCCCCACAACACACCTTTCAGGATCCATGGGTCCTACACATGCCTATCTCAACATGTAGTGTACCTCCTCCAGTGCACTAAATGCCCCAACAACAACTATGTGGGTGAAACGAGACATCACTATGCTCTTGAACGACCTTACACAGGAAAACGATAAAAGACAAAAACACCCTGTCACCTGTGGAGGAACACTTCTCACAAAGTGATCACTCTCAGTCCTCATCCTCAAAGGAACCCCACCCCCCGTTTCTTCCCCCCACCACTTCCTTCCTATGACTGGAGCGGGTTAACAGGCCACTTCACCTTGAATGGTCCTTTGAAATATGTTAACTACTTACAAGATAGAACAGACTGTTTAGTACGTTTGGCTGACACTCTGGGGCCAGATCTACACTACCAATTTGCATCAGTATAACTATGCTGCTTAGGGGCATGAAAAATCCACATCCCTGAGCACCATAGTTAGACTGACCTAACCCCCAGTGTAGACTGTGCTATGCCAGTGGGAGAGCTCCTCCTGTCGACATAGCTACAACCTCTTGCAAAGGTGGATTAATTACATCGAGGGGAGAAGCTCTCCCATTGGTGTAGTAGCGTTTTTCACTAAAGCGTAAGTGTAGACCTGCCCTCTGTAAGCTTCCTGCCCTGAAGAAGAGCTCTGTGTGGCTTGAACGCTCGTCTCTCTCACCAATATAAAAGATATTACCTCACTGTGATGAAATATGCCCCTGTATTCACACCCTACCCACGATTGTAGTAATGTTTGTACAAAATATGCCTTGTAAGGTATCATCTGAAAACTAATAACTCACTGGTCAATAATATCATGGTGAAATGTATGTAACAACATTATATGTAAAGTTATGAACATAAGCTGACATCATGACTGAAGCGTGTTTACCAGATAAGTCTGGGACATGAGTAAACCTGTTTCTCAAAGACAAAGGACAAGTGGACGCCCCAGCCAGGTGTCATCAAAGCTGATGGGCCATCACCTATCAAGTGGCCATTCTTTGGCATGGAATGGGGAAAGCAAGAGACAAGGCATACACAGGTGAAAAAAACCATCGTGAAACTTCTCTCTCACCAGACTCCATGGCTCCTTGTTCTTTCCATCTGAGAGCTTTATCTAGGGGTCACTCTCAGGAAAATGCCTTTCAAAGGATGACTGAACTATAAAAGTGAGGGGCAAAACACCCCAAGTTCTCTCTCCCTACCCCCCTCTCTCTTTTCACCTAAAAGGATGAAAGAAACAGCCATTTGACTTCGGGAGCAGATCCTGGCCTGAGAGTTTGGGCATCAGTGTTACTGAAAACATGTGGGAAGGGAGTTCACCTTGAACCAAGCCTAGTTTGTTAAGTTTAGAAAGTATTTTATATTTATTTTTCTTGTAACCATTTCTGACTTCTGACCTCATTACTTCTACTCACTTGAAACCCACCTCTTTATAGTTAAATACATTTGTTTTATTCTGTAATCAAAACTAATCCAATGTTGTGAACTGTGTGGGTTAGTCCATTTAGGGTGGCAAATTGTTGCATCTTGAGCCCCTTAGTGGTGAAATGGACCTAATATATCTGAACCATCCAGGAGAGGGCTGGACAGTGCAGAACACGATTTGGGGATAAGACCTGGGAGTGGGCTGGCGTCACCCTGCACATAATAACTCAGGCTGGTGGAAGCCAGAGTGTGACTGGTGTGTTGCTGACAGGCTGATGGCCCATGGCTGGGGCTATACACAGACACTCAGGGTGACCTGCAGGCTGTTTGTGAGGGGCCCAGGTTGGGAGCTACAGCAGAAAACCATTGCGAGGCAACCAACGTCGCAGGGCAGGGGTGACCCAGCCCCTCACTGGTCTGGATTGCACCCCAGAATCTCGTACTCACCCACCTTGTCTCTAAAATATCCTGGGACCCACAGGGCTCCAACAACACTGCATAGAATTTGAAGCTTACAGCAATCCTTCTAGGGAAGCTTTCCCGCTCAGCCCCCATGAAGATGTAGGGCAGTTGCTTCATTCTCAAGGCATCTACCTGCCCCTCAGTGTTGGCAGCAGTTGCTCTATAATGTCTGCGCATAGCTTGTTAATCTTTGACCTTGTTTTTGTTAGGGCTTGTCTACATAGGGTTGCTCAGGGAAGTTAAGACAAATTAACGAAAGATGTAAAGTTACCCCTGTGTGAATGCTCTCATTCAGGAGCAAAGTGGTCTGACTTCACTTAAGCTTCCCTGTATGGGCTTGTCTTCACGTATCAACGAGAGCTTAAGGCACAGCAACCTAAGGCTGCTCTACTTCTGAAGTAGAGTGTGGGTATTGTGTGCTTTAACTTTGCACCTTTAGCTCAATCATCTTCACTTCCCTGAGTGTGCTGGTGTAGATGAGCCCTTAGCGGAACCGGCTGCTTTCAGCCTCCACCCTGCATGTGCTTCATCGGAGAGCGCTTGAGTGTCCCGAGTGTACCACGGGAAACAGCAGACCCCCTTTCCCACGGTCACCACACCACTGGCCTTGCTGACACTGGCTCCCCTGCCTCAGCCTAGCAGAAGGCTCTAGAAGTGGGACACCGGATGGCCATGACAGGCCATTGACCTCAAAAAGAGCCTGAGCACTTGGCCCAAGAAGGACGTGGGCGCTTTGGAGGGACAGGGAGCCGGGCCCTGACATTCAGCACGTGGGTGTTGGGTGGGAGGGCAGAATGGTACATGGAGAGCGGAGAATCGATTGATCTGTGCCGGGAAGGGGGAAGGAGCTCTGGCACCACTGCCTGGCAGGCCGAGGTACTTCAGCACTGGCATTGGCATCCAGGGCTTGGGCCATTCACCTGCCTCCGAGGTCTCCTGCCTCAGCAAGGCGTGAAGCCTAGCAGTGCGGTGAACCTGTCTGGGCACCTGGTTGATCTCTAAAGCTAGTCACCCCAGAGCACTGGGCCCTTCCCAGATGAAGGTCATTACAAGTTCCAGGTGGGCTTTCCAACATAGCCAGAGTTGGCCTCTTTCTGTTCCCACTGAAGTCAGTGGGAGTTTTACTTTTGATTTCTTTGGGCTCGGAGTTAGGGCACCTTGAGTGTTTAAATTGTAAACTCTCTTGGGTAGGGACCTTGTCTACACATTCATCTGGATCAATTAAATAGTAATAAATAATAATCTGTGAGCTGCAGGGCTTTTGGGAACCAGTATCTTTTTCATGCAAACATCAGGGCCTATTTTATGAGCCCTGGGGATGGCTTTACTTGCATTTGTACTTGGCTTTGAATCACAAATGTGATCAATTCAAGGAGTTGTGTCTGACTCATGAAAGCTGTCTAATGACTTGAAACTGACGGGTTTAAATATCAGCTTGAATTTCTATCTCTTGATTCAAGTATTTAGAAGTCTAAAAAAACCCTGAGACCAGGGTCTCAGCTGGTGTAAAAAACTCTCGCTCCAGTGGTCAGATGAAGGACATGAAAGTCAGTGGAGCTATGCCGGTTCATACCAGCTGATTAACAATAGGCTCATTTCTGTGCCAGGTCTGGAAACACTCCCCAATATTTTTGTGCTGCCCCCCTTCTTTTCTAAGTGGATTGTATTTTGCAAGAGCCCCCAGAAAGGATTGCTGTCCAATTGCTAACAGGTCTGATTTTTCTGTAGGACGGATCTAACATAAATAATTCTTTCTCCTCTTTGTCTGTTCAGGTCACTTCCAATTAAAGGGTAATCTTCCTTCTGTCTTTCCCCAGCAAGTACCCTTAGACCCAAATGCGTTTCTGCAATTCCAGACACATCACATCTCAAGGTAGAAGGCTGGCATCATTGTTATCATTCTTGCCAAGGTCTATGAGAGAGATGAAGAAGTTGTAAAATTCTTTAGTTACTGGTATTTCTAGCTCATTGTTAGCAGGGTCATACTATCAGACCCTGGTGAGGTAGGAATCAATTATCTCGCTTCACTTATCAGTAGTAATTACAGCCATCACTGTTGCTGTATCTGAATGCATAATGCTCCTCAGTGCTCCTAGCCTCCTAACGCTCTGTGCAGTAGGGAAGTGCTATTATTCCCATGGTACAACAGGGAAACTGAGGCACAGCTAGGATAATTCACTTGCCAATGGTAACATAGGAAGTCTGTGGCAGAGCAGAGAATTGACCCTCACCCTACCAAACCCCACGTTAACACCCTAATCACTGGACCATCCTTCCTCTCTAGCTGAAATTTTCAAAGCCACCTAACATAGCTGGGGGCCCACTTCTCACTGGTAGATTGGGTATTCATAGATATTAAGGTCAGAAGGGACCATTATGATCATCTACTCTGACCTCCTGCACAATGCAGGCCACCGAATCTCACCCACCCATTCCTGCAATAAACTTCTCACCTATGTCTGAGCTACTGAAGTCCTCAAATCATGGTTTAAAGACTTCAAGGTGCAGAGAATCCTCGAGCAAGTGACCCGTGCCCCATGCTGCAGAGGAAGGCGAAAAACCCCCAGGACCTCTTCCAATCTACCCTGGAGGAAAATTCCTTCCCGACCCCAAATATGGCGATCAGCTGAACCCTGAGCATGTGGGCAAGATTCACCAGCCAGGTACCCAGGAAAGAATTCTCTGTAATAACTCAGATCCCACCCCATCTAACATCCCATCACAGGCCATTGGGCCTATTTATCATGAATAGTTAAAGATCAATTAATTGCCAAAATCATGTTATCCCATCATACCTTCTCCTCCATAAACTTATTGAGTTTAATCTTGAAGCCAGATAGGTCTTTTGCCCCCACTGCTTCCCTTGGAAGGCTGTTCCAGAACTTCACTCCTCTGATGGTTAGAAACCTTCATCGAATTTTCAAGTCTAAACTTCCTGATGGCCAGTTTATATCCATTTGTTCTTGTGTCCACATTGGTACTGAGCTTAAATAATTCCTCTTCCTCTCTGGTATTTATCTCTCTGATATATTTATAGAGAGCAATCATATTTCCCCTCAACCTTCTTTCGGTTAGGCTAAACAAGCCAAGCTGTTTGAGTCTCCTTTCATAGGACAGGTTTTCCATTCCTGGGATCATCCTAGTAGCCCTTCTCTGTACCTGTTCCAGTTTGAATTCATCCTTCTTACACATGGGAGACCAGAACTGCACACAATATTCTGGATGAGGTCTCACCAGTGCCTTGTATAACGGTACTAAAACCTCCTTATCTCTACTGGAAATACCTCTCCTGATGCGTCCCAAGACTGCATTAACTTTTTTCAAGGCCACATCACATTGGCGGCTCATAGTCATATTCAGATCCTCTAGGCAGTTTTGAATATCTCCGACTAAACTAACAACATTTGGTGTTTGAGCCATGGATTCCTGATTGGTGCCTGGGGCTTGCTGAGTTCTGAACGGTTACTAGCTGAGATATGTCGCGTGTCCGTCTCCGTGCAAAAATGACAAATGCATTTCACTGCAAGTGGCCTACCAGTATTGGTCCATTATTAATAGCGGTTTGTATTATGTATTGCTTAAAGGCCGCAGCCAAGATCCAAGCCCCATTGTGCTAGACGCTGTGCAAACACACAGGGGGAGACAGCCCAGGCCCCAAGAAGCTTTCAGTCTGGACTCTGCTCAGTGAAGATTTAGGTATGTGCTTAACTTTATCCACGTGTTCCGTCTCATCGGGTGAAATTCTGACCCCACTGACATCAGTGGGAGTTTTGCCATTGATTCCAATTTCAACCACTGACTTCAGTGCGACTACTTGCAGTGCATAAAGTTAAGCATATGCACAAATCTTTGCGAGACCAGGACTAAATAGGCCGGACAGATAATGACAGGGAGGGGAAACAGGCACAGAGAATTAAAGTGATGCCCACGGCCTGAGCAGTATTATCTGTATTTCTTCAATCATCTTTCTACTTGGACCAAGAGTTCTTCCCTCTAAATGCACTCCTGTATTGGGAAGGGGAGTTGGGCATAGCATGCCAAGCTTCTTACTCTGGCCAGCTGAGAACAGGGGAACATTGCTCAGGAAATGTGAGCACCAGCCCTGGTTTTTCCAGTGTAAATAATAGCTCGACATTTGCCAAACCTCCCTATTAATTTTACTTTGTATCCCCATTTGGTTTCAATATAAAATAGTGAAGTCATTCTGCGATTCATTTTGAAACTTTTATATACATGTTTAAAGATAAAAGTCATTAAGGATAGAGGTACCCTGATAGTAAAATATCTAAAGAGGGGGGTTTCAGTGATAAAAGGAAACAAGTAGTAGTTACAGATTTTTAAAGCCAAAAGGGAGCAGTTTGGTCAGCAATTGGAAGCAGTGTGGCCGACTGGATAGTGCTTGGGACTGGAACATAGGAGCCGTGGGCTCTATTCCCTCTGCTGCCACTGGCCTGCTGGGTGACTTTGTATGACTCATTTCACCTCTCTGTGCCTCAGTTTCTCCACCTGCAAAATGGGAATAATGATCCCGACCTCCTGGGTAAAGTGCTTGGAGGCCCCTAACTGGACAGTGCTGTGTAAGAGCAATGGAGGATTATCTAGTCTGACTTCCTCTTGGTGCAGGCCACAGAATTTTCACCTAGTGATTCCTCCGTCCAGCCTCGTAGCTTGTGCTTGACCTACAGCATCTTTTAGAAATGCCTGAGCAATCTTGATTTGAAGGCTCCAAATGATGGAGAATCCACCACACTTCTAGGTAAGTTATTTCATTGGTTAATTATCCGTGCTGTTAAACATTCATGCTTTATTTCCAGCTACATTACATCTGCCAGCAATGTCCCAGTGAAGAAACGCCCATGGTATAAATAAGCCATTAGTCCTGTTACCAAAACTAGCAACAGAATTCAAAACCAAATGGAAGTTTAGTGAAAGAGCCCAATGCCATGGCCCTGTAATTCATTCCGGGAAGAGCTGGGGTGAATCTAATGGTTCTCTATAAATATGTTTCAGAGTAGCAGCCGTGTTAGTCTGTATTCGCAAAAAGAACAGGAGGACTTGTGGCACCTTAGAGACTAGCCAATTTATTTGAGCATGAGCTTTCGTGAGCTACAGCTAAATAACTAGAGGAGGGCATCTTCCGGGTTTAGGACCTGGTCCTGCAAGCAGAAAGGCATGCACATGTGAGTAGTCCTGTTAGGTCCAAGAGGACAACCTTGCCTGAGTAAGCTGTGCACGTCCTTAGATGCTGCAGGATCGGAGCCCTACGGTATGCTTCCGCCATGCTGGATCTTCCTTCTGGCTGGGCCCACTATCTGCAGTACTTCTGCTACAGCAGCTGTTTATGATCGTTGTTATTTCTATTATAGCGGTGCCCTGAGGCCCCAGACAGGGAGCAGGGCCCCCCTGTACAAATGTAGCCAAGAGCCCTGCCCTCAAAATCTTACTCTCCAGGTTGCAAGGCTGTGCTCCGTTTAAGGCAGACTTGGAGGACGGCTTTCCTGCTTTAGGCCCCTCTTTTTGCAGAGCTTAGTCTCTCTGGGAGCCACTGATCTCTCTTCTGCAGATGTCTGCCTGCTGTGGCTCTCGGTCCCACAATGCCCCAGGGCTCTATATGTGATTAGACTCAGGCTCTCCCCCCGTGAATTCTCGATGCAGGGTCCTACTGCCTACAACCTTCTAGCTGCTTTGTGGGTGTTAGTTTCCCAGTCAGGACCCCCTGCTTCTTGTCCCAGTTGTCCTGGAGGCAGAACCTGGCCTAGGTCCTTTTCCTGGCCTCTCACCGTCCAGTTTCTCCTGCCCACTGTAGCTGCTGTCCCCTAACCTATTCAAGGGTATATATCTGGTTCTCCACTAGTCTTCTGGCTCCTGCCCACAGCACAGTCCTGCCCTTTGGATTATTCCATTGGAGTACAGGTTGTTCAGGGACGAATCTCTTCCAGATTTGACTCCTTCCAAAACCCCATTCCTGATTCCCAGTTCCCTCCAAAATCCTGTTCCCCACCACCACACAGCTGCCTCAGCATCCCTTTCAACAGCTTGCTTCTGAGGAGGAGTATGAGGAATTCCCTCACTCCTGCTCCCACTGCTTGGGACTATTTCTTACTGTGTAGAAATGTCCCGCCCTGGAGTTGCACAATCCTCTGCAGCTCTGCTCTACAGATCACACTGAATTCAGACCAGGCCTGGGAGAGTGAGTGAGAGGACTCTGAGTCCCAGGTCCCCAGAGGTATTTTGGCTCCTAACTCACATTGATTTCAATAGGAGTTAGGCACCTAAATAACCTGTGAAGCTCTGGGCCTGAGTGATCAAATGTAAGGGAGAGAGTACAGGGGAGCGATGACTGAGCGGGGTGAATGGGCTGGTAGTGAGCAGAGTTGGGTTAGAATCAGGGGAACGGGGGCAGCAGGAGAATGCCAATGAGAACAAACGAGGGCTCCTGTGACCCTCACCTGACAGCTGTTAAAAGTCTGTGACTCACCTTTCTGAGCCCATGGCAAATTACCAGCATCAGTAACACAAAAGCCGACATCCTGGGAAATGCCATTCATGACAGGGAAATGAATCCCACAGCCTTATAAGTTTCCCACATTATTGTTTTAGTTTTATTGTGGAGTATTAAGGAGGAGAAGAAGCAGCCCGATGCAACTTGATGTTATTTTGGGGGAAACTGTGGCTTTTGTTGCTATCCAGCCACTGCTTTTGAGTCTGACCCATCATTAGGCTTTGGGAGGTGTTGTAGGGTCAGATCTCAGATGTGCTTAGCACCACAGTCCGAGCCTGATTCTCCAAAGAGCTCCGCTCCCATTTAGGCACAGAAATAAGACCCAGCAGTTCCCTTTATTCCCAATGGGAAGCAAGCACTTCCGGAAGAGTGGCCCATTGTTCCTTCCTTGGATTGGAGATCTGCAGGTGGAGCCAGGACAGTGGCGGGAGCTGAGAACTCCCGTTATGCATTGGCTTTCACACCAGTTAGCAGCCGGCTCTGCTCAGGAGCACGGGGAGCCATTTTTGCCATGTGGCACAGCAGAGAAGAGAGACGGGTATATGTGGAGCTCCAAACTAACATCAGCCGCTTCACATGAAATCTTAATTCCTTCTTCCCAGACAGGGTTTCTGTTTAAGGGGGAACTGAAAGAAATAGTGGCCACCTTGTATTAGGAATGCAATTCTTGATCTTGGAGGAAGGGGGGCCCCTTGTGAAATGGGTAGCATTCATGCCCTGTGTTTGCGCCACAGAAAAATTGAGAATTTAACATTCTTTCCAAGGAAATGAGTGGGGGGCGTGCGGGGAACCACAATGCATTTTACACCGTTCTAATCCTGAGCTGCAGCTTTAAGCTAAATACCTTGCTTCATCGCTATTTATTTTGTTAAGCAGTGAGCAAGCAAAAGTCTAACAGCTGAACTGATGTGCCTGAAAGACTCCTGGCAGGCAATCCATCAAGCAAGTATTGATTAGAACTGCCGCAGCAGCCATTTTGCACAGTAAGCCCTTTATTCTTTACTCTGATAAATGCTCGCTCAGAGGTAAATTAGCTGAGGGTGTCCTTCCCTTCATGTGGTGGGGCTGAATGAGACTCTGATTCCCCAACAACAGAATTAAAGCCAATGAGTGGAACCACAGCCAAAGCCTCTAGTGCTCCAGAAAAGGGGAAGGGACCCAAGAAATAAAACCTATACAAATGCCTTGGCATTGTATGCCTGAGCAATTCCCTGATGAGACTGAAAGCTCCTAAGGGGACTAGCCAAGGGATGCATTCATGGGGGTGGTACTCTTCCAAGCTCCACAGCCAAACCAATCCCCTCCCACTTTCATAGCTTCCTAGGTTTTAAGGCCAGCATGAACCATTCGCTCATGTAGTCTGCATAACACTGGCCATTACATTTCAATTACCCCTGTGCTGAGCCCAGTAATGTGTGTTTGGCTAAAGACTATCTTCCCAAAAGGCATCTAGTCTTGGATACCTCTGCTGGATTCCTGGAGCTTGGCTCCTCCTTAGTGGGCATGGAGGCTCACTGGGGTTGGCTTCTATCTCCCAGTCACCATTCATCCCCCCCGACTCCTGGCACCAAAATGAGACATCACTTGCAGTGGAGTGAGCACATCTGCAAGCTGCGATACTTCCTCTCTTCCTTGCTTTTCTGAGCAGGGAACTAGGCAACATTTAAACTGCTATCACTGGACAGCTGGCTTTTCACCTTGGTGACATGAATGAGGCACTCACATCCTCTAACTACATTTTCAGGCTCTCCACCGACCTGCACAACCGCGAAGGCTCAGATGCTGGAGGCCATGGCAGCTGCACGGAAGAGATGCTGGAATGCTTTTTCACTACATGTCCCCCAGTTACAGCCTCGGGGGCAGCTATGAGACGGTGGATACAAAAGAGTATTCTATTTTTATTAACGTCCCCTGCAGATAGAGAAAAAGAAACCAACGTCAGGCCTGCTTTGTGCTTTCTTCTTTCTTCTTCTGCTTTCTTCTTGTGGCCCTTCAATTGCAAAAGGAACCTCAGGCGAATGGGATTGGGAATACTGCCAAATTAATAACACACGGTCACTTCCCAGTGTCAATGAGTGGGAGAGCTGCATCTCGCTTTATTGTTGTCAGGTTTTCCTGGGTAGCTGGAGTTGGGGTTCCCTTATTTCCTCCAGGCCAGGGGGGCAAAGTGGGAAATTCTTTGTTGATATTTTGATCATTAAAAACAAAGAGTTACGGGGCCGCGGGGGTGGGGGAGCGAGGGAACTAGCAGGGAAACATGAAGGGGGTTGTTTCGGTGAAACAAACAAGAGGTGGAAGCTAAGTACTCTACAATTAGTCTCCAGGGCCTAGGTGGGATAGCTCAGATGGGAGTCCTGCTCAAAGCCAAGTCCTGTAATAAATCCAGCTGGTTGAAAAGAGTAATAATCGTCTAACTTGGTATTGTCAAACTGTTAATGGGTTTTTCAGGAGAAGCGGCACCATATGTTTGGATGCCTAAGAAGACGTCTGAGTTATTTCTGCCCTGCTTCATTTCGCTGAATGAAATGGGTTGATGGCCCTTATTTCCCATGCTACAGTTGTAGCAGCGGGACATGACCCATTGCCTCAGTGTCAACCCATGTCTAGATACTTTTCTCAAGGTCCAGTGCTTGCACCAGAATTAAACCTTTCTTATGTCCCCTGTGGCACAAAATACCAAGCATGTGTGGTGGGAAATGATCAGTGGAGCTGACATTTGGTTATGTGCAATGGACAGGTGCGTTACCATCTAGTTGTATTACAGTGGCAGCCACAGGCCCCAACCAAAATCAGGTTATAATAGAAATATCTCTAGTGCAGCAGTTCTCAAACTGTGGGTCGTGACCCCATTTGAATGGGTTCACCAAGGTTGGCTTCGACTTGCTGGGGCCCAGGGCTGAAGCTCCAGGGCTTCAGCCCTGGGTGGTGGGGCTCAGGCTACAGGCCCCTTGCCTGGGGCTGAAGCCCTTGGGCTTAATCTTTGCCCCCCATTCCCTGCCTGAAGTGGTGGAGCTTGGGCTTTGGCCCCTGCACCTGGGTTGGTGGGACTCAGGCGGGCTCAGGCTTTGGTTCTCCCTCCTGGGGTCGTACAGTAATTTTTGTTGTCACAAGGGGGTCACGATGCAATGAAGTTTGAGAACCCTGCTCTCGTGTAAGGTCTGTCAGTGATAGAAGGAAGCAAGAATTATTCATTGATTTAAGGCCAGAAGGGACAATTCTGACCCAGTCTGAGAGGCAGTGTGGTCTAGTAGCTCTCTGGAAAGACACTCAGCAGACCTGGATTCTATTCCTAGCTCTGCCACTGGCCTGCTGGCCTACCTTGTGCAAGTTCTTTCACTGCTCTGTTCCTCAGTTTCCCTATCTATAAGACGGGGGAAATGATGCGACCCTCCTCTGTAAAGCACTTTGAGCTCTATGAAAGAAAAGTGCTATTATAATTATTTATTACTGCGCTGGACAATGTATATACACATAGTAAGAGACAGTCCCTGCCCCAAAGAAAGGGAGAAACTGAGGCACACAGAGGTGAAGTGACTTGCCCAATGTCACACAGCATGTCAGCGACAGAGCTCTGAAAAGAACCAAAGTGACCTGAGTCCCAGTCCAGTGCCCTATTCACTGTCTTAAGCTTTTCTATTTATGGGCAGCATATCCTTGATATGTAGCAATTAATTCTTCCCCCGTCTCCATTAAAATTAGTTAAACGCTGGCAAATCAATAGCACGTTCCTAAACTGGGCAAGCTTATCAAGCGTTTCTCTATGTGCAGTGCTGTATTTGGCTATGTTGGAAGATGTAGCGATTCAACACACTAAGAGGCTACCAAATAAAGTGACACACCAAAAAACTTTCCCTATGGACCAGGGCCAGCTGTACTGTGACCAATACTCAGACTCTGAGCCAGTCGCTGGGAAGAATTGCCAACAGACGGCTGGCAGGAGGCATGGTTTAAAAGACACAGGAGAAGTCCTGCGCTTGAGCTAGACAGCAGCGTGGTCTTGGGGGTACAAATGGGCGGAATACAGCAAACAGTGCCATAAATATCCATGGCATATTGCAGAACACGGATAAGATTTATTCCCTGCCTTAAGGGACATACAAGCCAAATAAATCAACACCCAGCTTGGTTATTTATTCTGAATATCAGGACCTATTGTAATTCAGACAAATAGCCTCATTATGTTCTGATTAAAACATGTCCAGTGAAAAGCTGGTTCCTCCCAGCCTGCAGAAAGGTCCCTTATTACAACATGGGGAAATAGATGACTCTTTCTAGAGCACGTCTCTGCCCATAGAAGCCTCAGTTTAGGAAGCGATCCAAGGTCCAAGTCTGGCCCTCACGACCATGTCTTTCATGTCACAGCAGCCCTGGGAGGTGGGGAAGTGCTGTTATCCCTGTTGTACAGATGGGGAACTGAGACTCATGAAGGCAAAGTGACTTCCCCGACGAAGTCTGTCGCAGAGCAAAGAATTGAACCCAAATCTGCCAAGTCCTAGCCTCTCCCGCTCACCATTGGGCCAGCCTGCCTCTCTTTTAAAGCCCCTTTAAGCATGTGCTTCAGTTCCAGTGATGTCAATAAAATAAGAGCCACGGGCTTCAGTGGTTCTTGAGCCTCTCTTTAAGGCCGAGATCTGCCAAGATATTTGGTGCCTAACTCCCATTGCCTAAATGCATTTTGAGGATCTGCATCGAAGTGCTGTCGTGCATCAAGGCCAGAATGAAATATAGTTTTACGGTTAGAAATGTCCACGCTTTCTTTTTGTTGTTGTTTTTTTTTCCTTCTGTAATTAATGATCCCAGGAACAGGGGGTGGAGAGAGTGCAAATGCACCTCTAAAGATGTTCTGAATCTCTGAGCCATTTAAACTACTGATAACAGCAATCTCTCCTACCTTATTAATGTCTGCAGTGTCTGGTCTCACCAAATAGTAATGGGGACTTCACCTGTCTACGTTAATTGAATTAAATGGTCGGTTTACTAACCTGCAATGACGAAATGCCTGAATTTAAAGGCTCTGGACCAGAACCTCAGCTGATGTAAGTCAGTGTAGCCCAAATGACTTGAATGCTGATTTACACCAGCTGAGGATCTGCCCCCTCCTTCCTTATCCTGTTATAAACTTCAGGATTGGCTTCATCTTTATCCAGTGAGGCAACATGTGGAGTGCACGCTCTGCGGGATACTTGTGCATTGAGACCTCTCAATAGGGCCAGAGGAAGGAAACCCAGGACCTGGGACCCCAGGGCTCTGCCCAGTGCTGTGATCCCACCCCTGTGCCGTGGCCCTGCTTCTTTTTGGGGTGCTAGTTGGCCGGGGCGACCTGCACATCAGCTGTTTGCTGGGCAGATTGGGGCCCACCACCACTGCTCTGTGGGCATGCTGGGACCCATCCTTCCTGCACCGACACCCCTGGCCTTTAGGCCGGGCCACAGTGGGTCCCAGAGGAGGGAAGCTTCACCACCCATCCACCCACATAAAGGACTCTGCCAGGATGTGTGTGAGGGGGACTCTGCTGACTGCACCTGTGATAAATGATGGGGGCAGGTACCTCCCTTTTATGGACACCCAGCCAGCCAGTAGCTATAAAATCCCTCTTAGTAGCTGTTCTCTAATTGCTCTACCTTTGAAGGGTCAAAAAGTCTCACTGTTATCCATAGCTAAAAGGAAGTGAGTGGGCGCCTGGCCAAAAAAAACAATGGGAAGGCTAGAACTTTTTAAAATGGAGAAAAAACTCTCCTTTTGTCTGCCTGTGGCTGTTCTCCCGGGGAGAGGCGGACAGGGCAGAGCTATGCTGTAAGAAGCTTGGGCCAGGTATGAAAAATCATCTGTATCATACCTAGAAACTACTCATTTAAAACCCCCGATATGTAAGTGACTCAGGAAATGTCTAGAAAGATGCAATTAGGTTTATTCCTTTTATTTCTTTATGGCTTGTGGATTCCTCTGTGCTAACCCCAGGTGCTTTTGTTTTGCTTGTAACCTTTGAGCTGGACCTCGAGAAAGCTATTCAGGGTGCTTAATCCTTATAGTTGCTCTTTTAAAATCTAGCAATAGCCTGAATTCCCAGATATATTTTCTTTCTTTTTTTTAAATAAAATTTACCTTTTTTAAAGAACAGAATTGGATGTTTGTGTCTTAAGAGGTTTGTGCAGATGTTGTCTAATTAGCTGGTGGCAACAGCTGAGTTCTTTCTTTTTTTCCCCTTCTTCTTCTTCCTCAGCTCTCCCCTGGAGGGGTGGGGGGTGAGAGGGCTTGAGGGCTCCCCACAGAAAGGAATTCCCAAGTGCGCCTTCCTGGGCTCTCAAGGGGGTTCTGCACTTGGGTGGTGGCAGCATCTACCCATCCAAGGTCAGAGAGAAGCTGTAACCTTGGGAGTTTAATACCAGCCTGGCGTGGCCAGAATTAATTTTTAGAATCCTTGCGGTCCCCACCTTCTGCACTCGAAGTGCCAGAGTGGGGAATCGGCCTGGACAGTGCCCCAGCAGGGTCACAAAAGGTAGGTGGCAGCAAGGGCCCTGCTGTGCCAGGTCAGGCCGTGCAATGAAAGTGGGTAAGAGGTGGCAAACGCTGAGGCAGCGGTTTACAAAGTGGGCGATGAAAAGGCTGGCCCAGGCTGGGCTCTCTAGAGTAAAGAGGCCTGTTGCTATGAGCCCCCTCTGCAAGAACTCCTGTGACGTCACAGGCTGGCATAACGGTGAGCACAAATGTGGCCGTTCCCTGCCCAGTCTGAAACGCTGGTGCCTTTGTAACCCGCATAGGAGTGTGTGTGTCAGGCCCACTCTGGGCGTCTGAGCTCAGGCAATGGCAGCTCATGCTTTTAGCCCTCAGCCAAGATGGCAGCCATCACACCATCCCCAGGCTGGCCGCACATTATTACGTGCACTGGAGAAAATCAACAGGTGGCTGGTAAGTACCTTACCAGCAGCCACAGGATACCAGCAGCATTCAGTGCCCTAACCCCATAAGTTTTCAGGGCTCATTGTGCCCAGGGTCTTTCTCTTTCTGAAGAGTCTATGGTCTCTTTAAGGAGTTAAGCCCCAGCCTGGGTGCCCAGCGTCTCAAATCCAGCACCTTCTCCCCAGCCCCCCTTCATACAGCCAGCATGCTCTGCCCACGAGATAGCACTCCTTGCGTGGCCCAACTTTCCCTCATGCTGGCTGCGTTCCAAGAGCCTGTGTTTTATAAG